CCTTAATCACTGAAGAAGGCACCTCATCCACTCCCTTTTCCTCATCCTCTGAAGCAAGTTCCTCGGCTGTGGTCTGATGCTGTTCCAGTTGAAGCTCTTGCAGTTCGTCAGTGGTTAGCTCTTCCCTGTGGTCCTCCACCAACTCTTCCACATCCCCATCACTCACTTTATTTACCAAAGGGCTTGCACTAGCTTTCCTTGGGTCCATGATGACTTATTTAGCAGTTGCAAGCACAAAAAACAATGAATTATTATGAAATGTATTGTATGAACCCACGGGGTGATGGTCACGTGTTGGTAAACAATGGCACACTGAGCGTGAATGGCGTGGGAGACTGGCTTGGTGTGCGCGGTGATGGGCAGACGGGTACCGGACGGTCGCTGAAACACGAGTCTAATCACGAAACTCGAGGCCAAATTTCACGAAAGTCGAGGCTGCCGAAACTCGAGGGTCCACTGTAGTTTAGTGCCTTGTGTCTGTCTCCTTTCTTAAAAATGGGGACTACATTTGCCGTCTTCCATACCTCAGGTAGTTGCACAGTGTCAATGGACGTGTTGAAAATTGTTAGTGGCACACACAGCGTCTCTGCTCCCTCTCTAAGTACCCACGGAGAGATGTTGCCTGGTCCCACCACCTTTGAGGTATCAAGGTCACTTAGCAGCTTCTTCACCTCCTCCTCAGTTGTGTGTATTTCATCTAACATTTGTTGGTACAGTGGAACCCCGAGTTTCAAACGCATCGACTATCAAATGCTTTGAGTTTTGACCGCTTTTTTCACACCAGTTTTGTCCCGAGTATCGAATGTGCCCCGTGTTTGGAGCCGCGTACCAGACCTGTCTGCCTACCCGCGCCTGCCTGCGTCCCCCACGTAGACGTCGTGAGCCAGTCTGGCTTTGTTTGTGCTTGAGGGAACACTAACCTGTGTGCTCATTTAAATATTTCACAATTAATTCATTGTGTTTGATGCTTGTTTATTAAGTGTGACTGTGAAATAAGCTACCATGGTGGAAGATGGTGGTGGTGGTGGTGGATGGTATTGGTGGATGGTAGTGGTGGATTGTGGTGGTGGTGGATGGTGCCTTCTTCAGAGATTAAGGAGATATGTGCAGTGTGGAATAGGGTGCAGGCATTTGCTGAAAAATATCACCCTGAGCAAGCTAAAACAAGCCATCTCTGCAACAAGTTCAGTGACAGAACCATGTCCCATTTTAGGGAAATCTTAAAAAAGAGAAGTAACTCCAGACAAGGACTTGTTACCTAGAGTCTCTATAGAAGGGGATTCCCCTTCCAAACAATAAGTGCTCCCTCACTACTCCTCCCTATCTTCCAGATGCCATCAACAATCTTCAATAAAGGTAAGTAAAAATGTTATATGTTTATTTATCTATTAATAATTGTACTGTATATGTTGTGTGTTTGTAAAACTATAATTAATCTCTTTAAAATGTATTTTTTTGTGAATATTTTTGGGTTTCTGGAACTGATTAATTGTATTTACATTATTTCTTATGAGAAATATTGCTTCGAGTTTTGAATGTTTCGACTTTAGAACTAGCTCCTGGAATGGATTAAGTTCGAAACTCGGGGTACCACTGTTTATCCCTTGTTGGTATACTTCCCTGTTCTGACTTCCCGAAGTCCTTCTGTCTTCACATACTTCTTGGTCATTTTTTGTGAGGTCCTCACCTTCTTTCCTCAGCCTGATTACCTGGTCCTTGACTGTTGTCTTCTTCCTGATGTGGCTATACAACAGATTCGGGTCAGACTTGACTTCTGACGCTATGTCATTTTTGTACTGTCGCTGGGCATACTTGTTTCTGGCTCTTCGACTGATCTTTCTATTTTCCAGGGTCCTTTGTCTTCTGTACTTTTTCCATTCTCTAGTGCACTTAGTTTTTGCCTCCCTACACCTTTGGGTAAACCAAGGGCTCATTCTGGTCTTCCCATTATTTCTGTTGCCCTTGGGAACAAACCTTTCCTCTGCCTCCATGCATTTCGTTGTTTCGTACAGTGCTAGTCACGGCATTATGCCACCCCTCCCCCACACACGTACCAAAACCCAAACACATGCCATGAAAGATTATAATATAGTATATATATTTGCACGCTTACTGAGGTTTTAATACTTGGTGCTGCATCCTTTACGCTTATTCATGTTCCTCACCCATGTAGGAAGACTCTCGCACAAATTCTTGAGAGTTTGGAGAGGTATATTATGCCATGCTTCATGTAGGGCAGCCTCCAGCCACAGGATTGAACTGATTTCTTTGCCCAGTAAACTTCATTTCATTTTTGACCAGAGGTTCTAAATAGGGTTTAGGTCTGGGGAATTGCCTGGCCAGTCATTAAAGAACCTCACTTCACAGTCCTTAAACCACTGAACTACAGATTTGGTGGTATGACACAGTGCACCGTCCTGCATAAAAACTAGCCCCACACTTGTCAAATGCATCAGGTAAATTGTCACACAATAACTCCAGGTAATTATACTGGTTCATATACTGGTTTTTGGGAAGCACAATGAGTTCACCAACACTCTGAGCACTGAACCCCCCCCCCCCCCCCCAAACCATGAGCAAGTCTGTGTGGTGGTCCCACAGGTGTAGCGTGGGTCTAGCAGGTCACTACCTTTGGGCCTGTACACGTGTCCCCCATGGTTACAAGTGACGGTGAAGGTTGCTTCATCACTCCAAAGTACTTCAGACCACTGTTGAGGATTCCATTGAAGATATTTCTGTGTATAATCCAGCCTATGTTTCTTCTGTGTCTTGGAGAGGATTGGTTTCTTAACTTGGCTCTAACTACTGTAGCCCAGTTCTGACGCACGTCTGTTAACAGTTCTTACAGACACCTCTGAGAGAAGATGTGGGTTCTTTTCTTTCAGTTCTCTAGCAGTTATCTTAAGTGTACTCTCTAACTGCTTCTTTAACACAGTTAAGGTACAAACAGATGTCTTCTTCAAGAGGCCAGGCCGAGGTTTGGAAGATGGTAACTTGACACTGCAACCAGCCTTGAAACGCTGCACCCACTTCCTCACTGAATGCTTACACACACACACACCAGAATTCTCCACTATTTCTTTCATCTGGTGCCCAGCTTTGTGAAGCCCTATGATTTGAGCTATAGTTTCAGGTGTTATAGATTTCCCTTTACCCATAATCAAACATGTAAAGCCCCAAAACCAGAGGGAACACTGGACAAAAAATGGGGCAGATGAGAGACAAAAGTGCAACACTTCCTCTCACCACAGCAGCCATATGAGCACTAAGGAGTCACTGTGGAGTATAGTGGCAGGCCGTGACGTCATGCTCACGGCTGCTTCCCAGCATAATGCACTGATGAAACAAAGCCCCCTTGTGTGGTAGGCCTTTGATTTTTGTCACGGCATTATGCCAGGGTGCTTACCCAGCATAATGCCGTGACTAGCACTGTAGTCCATTTCATTTACTGACTTTCCTATCAGTTTGCTTTCCCACTAAACCTCCACCAGGAAGTTCCTCATGCCTGTGTAGTCTCCCCTTTTGTAGTTTGGCTCGCTGTATGACCTTTGTAGGTTTAGCACTTCTTTTTTTGATTATAATGTAATTTGGCTTTTCCCATCATACTCATGTTACCCTCTCCACTTGTAACTCTACATATTCAAAGCTCAGAACCACATGATCACTAGCTCCAAGGGGCCTTTCATATGTGATGTCCTCAATGTCCAAGCTACTCAGGGTGAACGCGAGGTCCAGTCTTGCTGGTTCATCCTCCCCTCTCTCTCTGGTAGTGTCCGTAACATGTTGATACATGAGGTTTTCCAGTACCACATCCATCATCTTGGCTCTCCATGTTTCAGGACCCCCATGTGGCTCCAGGTTTTCCCAATCAATCTCCTTGTGATTGCAATTGCCCATAACTAGTAACTTTTGCTCTACCCTTGTGAGCTCTTCTGGTCACCTCAGCTAGTGTGTCCAACATTGCTCTGTTGGTTTCTTCATATTCTTCTCTTGGCCTCCTGCAGTTCTGTGGTGAGTTATACATCACTGCAATGACCACCTTTTGTCCCCCAGATGGAATCGTATCTACTCTGTAGTCCCTTTCACCCATTTCACCCATTCCTTCCACTTCCTCAAATCCCCATCGGTTTTTAATGAGCAGTGCAACTCCTCCTCCCCCTCTGCTCCCTCTATCTTTCCTCAGGATCTGATATCTGGGCGGAAAGATTTCATCTGTTAGTCCGGTGAATTTCGTTTCTGTTACTGCTATGATGTCTGGGGATGTCTCCTTGATTCTTTCATGCCACTCCTCACATTTATTTGTTATTCCATCCACATTCGTATACTAAATCTTCAACTTTTCTAAAACTGTGGTCTGGGGAGAACGTTGGGGTTAGGGGAGCAGGAGATCTGGCGGGGAACTGTGGGGGGTTGCTGTGGAGGTGGAGTTTGTGATGAGGGGGGTGGGGGTAGAGGGTACAGTATGTGGGTTTTGAGTTAGATTGTTTGGTTGCATTGGGGTTGTCGTGATTGAGGTTCTTCTGTGGGTGGTTCTGATGGAGGTTGTATTTCCTCATCCTCCTGAGTCTGGGTTCTCCTGCTCACCTACGTCTTTCCCTCTTGTTTCTCCTTGTGTCTTTGTACCCTCTCAGTTTCTGCCTTTCTTCATGTGTTCTATCGCAGTTGAGGTACATCCTCTGGTGCTTTGGTATGTATGGGTTCAGTGAGTTGTCACTCACTGAACCCAGCAGTTGGGGTCACAGTTTACAGTTTACTCAGTTTTATTCATGATGCTCTGTGACATTCTGCTACTGTACCATGTTTGTGCTGGAAGTTCTCCCATATACCTGCCCTCTAACTTTACCATCATTATATGATTGCCACAAGGTACATACACAGGGTGATATTAATTTTGCATGTAGCTTTTCAGTATTAATTTTTTTTGTTCCTTAATGTAATCTATTAAGATTGCTGAATAATGTTTTGAGATTATTCAAGGGACATTTTTCTCTTGCTTTAAGGTCGGGGGTTCGATTGAGGTCCATGTCAAGTGGTCATGGAAGTTTACAGATGGTGATATCTCAGTTAGGGGAAGTACGAAGCAGCTTTAAGGCATTTTCCCAAGCTCAAGCCACAGCATCAGAGGATCTTTTGAGCTGGTCTGGTGGCAGTCATGAAAATCGAGCTATTGAAGAAACCTTTGCTCACTTGGCCGAATTGTCTTTACTTTGGTCTGAGGTCCAGAGAGACTTTGCTGGTATGGTATTTAATGTTTATTACATTGTATGTCAATTTGTTTGTGCATGAGTGTGTAAGGTTTGAATATTTTATATATACATAGTATGCAGTATAGTACACCATTTTTATGTTCATTTCTGTTTAGTTAATGAACCTAGCATCAGAATTTAGATTTATGTGTATAGCTATTCATTACTGATTTAATCAATCCATCAGTTAATTTATCCTTCTGTTATCAGTGCAGGCTCAGTCTATTTTATTGGTGTTTCAGTTCTGAACATTCGTGGTTTACAAACTCATAACCCTCTGGAGAACACTAGAATTCTCCTTCTTTCGCTCCCATCCTATATAATGTTTTTGTTTTCATTGAACTTTATAGTCCTGCTGTACAGTGGAACCCTGTATTTCATACTTAATCCTTTCCAGAAGGTCGTTCAGAATCTGAAAAGTGCGAAAACCGAAGTAATATTTCCCATAAGAAATAATGTAAATACAATTAATCCATTTCAGACACCCAAAAATATTAACAAAAAATACATTTTTTAAAGAATAACTATAGTTTTACATACAGAAAATAATAAGAAATAAATATAAAGCACAAATGAAATGGATAAATGAACATTTAAATCACTATTACATACCTTTATTGAAGACTCTTGTTGGGAGGAGAGTTTGTTTGGAGACAGGACAAAATACTTAAATATGACGCACTAATATCAACTCTGCGGCTTATTTATCTATCACAATTCATCTAATATGACATAATAAACAATATTAATAACATAGAAACATGATATATACTCTAGAATGAATAAAATATGTCATTACATATGTGAGGAGTGGTGGTGGTGGTGTTGGGTTTATCAGGGCCACTGACCATAAGCTGTACATGCAGTGGGGGTGGTGGCAGCAGCAGCAGAGGCCACCACCACTATTCACACTGAAATAATGTATGTAATTTATAAATAAGAAATATTTACACTTTAATTTATAAATAAGAAATGTGTATACTTACCTTGGAGGAGATGCTGGCATTGGTTTAGGGTGGTGGAAGATACACAGAGCAGTATATGTTGTCATTGGCCCTATACACCTCCAACAACATTGGAGGAGTTTTGTGTCTTCCTTTTTCTGTCGCTTAATCGCTTAACTTACTTGCTACACTGTTAATGCTACACTTTATTGCTGGCTGGAGCTATAGCCTTTATTGACTCCTGCTGCTTTAGTATCATACATATCGTAAAATCACTGAAGAAGGTACATTCTCCCCTCTCACACTAGGATCTTTCTTTGGGCCCATGGTGGCTTATTTCATAGTCACAATCAATAAAGAAGCACAAAAATTGCTAAATGTTTTGGATGAATGCTCACTCAAACAGTGACAGAGCCAGACTGAAGTGGCATCCCGGCGGGTGAACACATCTGATACATGCGATTCCCGGGACAAGGTCCGAAATTCAAAGCAAAATTTTGCACAAAAATGTGTCTGAAATCCAAAAAGTCCGATATCCGGTACGTGTGAAATCCGGGGTTCCACTGCATATATGTATTTATAGAGACTTACTGTGCATAACACAGTCTTCAGAAGTCACTACATTGCCTGTCTCAGGCAACAGGAATATCCAAGTTGCCCTTACAGTGCATATTGGCAGGAATTTTACCATTATCTAATGAGCTACTACTTATGCATATTACATTATAGTGTGTCATGTTACAGTTCAGTGATGTTAACTGATCAGCTCAGTCTCCAGATTTGTATGTGCTAGATACCTCTCACTGAACCTACCTTAACCTGCCTTCATATTAACATTGCTGTTTTCAGTAGTTATATTACTCAGGACAAATATTGTACAGTGGTACCTTGACTTACGAGTTTAATTCGTTCCGTGACCCAGCTTGTAACTCAGTTTGCTTGTATATCAAATCAGTCTTCCTCATTGAAATTAACTGAAATGTTATTAATCTGTTCCAGCCCGCAAAAAACCACACCAATTTTTTTGTTACAGGTTTTTAAATAAGAAAAATGTATTTATAAATTAAAAATATTGTATACAAACATAAAACATAATAAAAGAGAATGTAAAGAAATAAACTGGTTTTATAAAGTATATTTACCTACACAACATAGGGTAGCATCAGCTATGGAGACATTGGTGGCTTCTCCCTCTGCTATAGATAGCTCCACCCACTTTGTAACGATGCCAAATGGTGAATTAAATATGTATAGTATTAGAAAGAAAGAAGGAAAATAAATAAAAAGGAAACTCCAACTTGATAATGTTGTTTTAATTTGCTTAACTCTTACATATTACAGAAAACAACAAAAAAGTAAAATAAACATACAGTACACTCATTACTTACCTTAACCCTTTCAGGGTCCAGAGGTCAAATCTCAAAGTATGCACTAGGGTCCAAGAATTTAAAAAAAAAAAATTCTTACAGAATTAAAGATAATTTTCTGTAGGTAATGAAACAAAAAAAAAAAAATTCTGACGAGTACTTACCGAGATAGGTATGAAGTTGACCCTCAGTGACCAGGTGGCAGCAACATCGGCAACTTCCGTAAAGTCACATTTTTTTATTTTACATTTTTCTTACTTTTTCTTTTCTTTCATAATATTTTTTTCCCAGTAACTTTTGTGGCCTGTGAGACCAATATAGTATATAGTCTATATATATTATTTTTATTTTTTTTATTATCACACTGGCCGGTTCCCACCAAGGCAGGGTGGCCCGAAAAAGAAAAACTTTCACCATCATTCACTCCATCACTGTCTTGCCAGAAGGGTGCTTTACACTACAGTTTTTAAACTGCAACATTAACACCCCTCCTTCAGAGTGCAGGCACTGTACTTCCCATCTCCAGGACTCAAGTCCGGCCTGCCGGTTTCCCTGAACCCCTTCATAAATGTTACCCTGCTCACACTCCAACAGCACGTCAAGTATTAAAAACCATTCGTCTCCATTCACTCCTATCAAACGCGCTCACGCACGCCTGCTGGAAGTCCAAGCCCCTCGCACACAAAACCTTTACCCCCTCCCTCCAACCTTTCCTAGGCCGACCCCTACCCCGCCTTCCTTCCACTACAGAGTGATACACTCTTGAAGTCATTCTGTTTCGCTCCATTCTCTCTACATGTCCGAACCACCTCAACAACCCTTCCTCAGCCCTCTGGACAACAGTTTTGGTAATCCCGCACCTCCTCCTTACTTCCAAACTATGAATTCTCTGCATTATATTCACACCACACATTGCCCTCAGACATGACATCTCCACTGCCTCCAGCCTTCTCCTCGCTGCAACATTCATCACCCATGCTTCACACCCATATAAGAGCGTTGGTAAAACTATACTCTCATACATTCCCCTCTTTGCCTCCAAGGACAAAGTTCTTTGTCTCCACAGACTCCTAAGTGCACCACTCACCCTTTTCCCCTCATCAATTCTATGATTCACCTCATCTTTCATAGACCCATCTGCTGACACGTCCACTCCCAAATATCTGAATACATTCACCTCCTCCATACTCTCTCCCTCCAATCTGATATCCAATCTTTCATCACCTAATCTTTTTGTTATCCTCATAACCTTACTCTTTCCTGTATTCACCTACATTATTATTATCAGTATTTTATGTGAACATGTTAGATAGGGGTGCATAGATACAAATGGCTTTTAATGTACATGCTCTTGGATTGTGAGCAGGGTAGCTGTTATGAAGGGATTCCAAACCTGAGTCTTAGAGATGGGAAGGGCAGTATCTGCACTTTGATGGAAGAGCAGGGACATTGCAGTCAGAGGGTAATCTTATGGTGATGTCAGCACACCTCTGGAAAGACAGCAAATGAGTGAATGTGTTTTCTTTGGGTTATCCTACCTAGTAAAGCACACACACATATATGTATCTACTTTCATTGTACATTTATATGATCTTTTTACCTACATATTCATGTCATGTTTCTAATTATACATAAAGGATAAATCCTTTATGTATATATACATTCATAAATCTCTATTGGGAAGTGGAATAGAATTCCTTTTCCCTAAACCATGCGTGTCATAAGAGGCGACTAAAATGCCGGGAGCAAGGGGCTTGTAACCCTTTCTCCTGTACACATTACTAAAGTTAAAAAAAGAGACTTTCGTTGTTCTTTTTGGGGCACTCTGCTTCTGTGAGATACGGCCAATTTGTTGAAAGAAGACATATTTAAAGGATAAATCCTTTATGTATGATCAGAAACAATAGTATAAAAACCTTCACATCTTTCCCAGATCATTTAAAGGAGTATAGATCTCAGTATGAGCTGATTTTAGAAGGCGAGAAACATGTTACACAAGCAAGAGAAATGCTTGCTGTCAGGGAGCAGCGCGAGGGAAAACTGCGGAAGGAGTTAAAGAAAGCCAGTAAAAAGGTATGTAAATTGCATCAGTCAGATTTTATTCTGCAATGTAATTACATCAACATTTTTGCTCATATTTCATTGCTTTCATCATCCACTTTAATTTTTGGCCTGTTCTAACATTTTCTACTAGAACTTTGTTCACACAAAATTCTATTTAATTTTTAGCCCTTTAAAACAGTAGTGTATGTAGCTCTGTGGTTATGTTGAGAAACACACAGGAAAGTAAAAATATGTAAATATTGTATGTTAGAAGTTTATAAAAGATTTACCTCTTACTTTCCATGTTCACGAGAGAAAAATTCAGCAAATTCCCTCATTGGAAATTTTTAAATAAGCTTTCATTTCGTCCTCGTATATAAGATAGTAGTACAGTGTACAGTAGACCCTCGACCAACGGCATTAATCAGATCAAATCAAATCAAAGTTTATTCTCTATAAGGATTACAATTCAGGGTTTACAGATTTTGGTTATTGTTTGGTTTACATGTAGTAAAATAATAATTAATCTTAACTTAATATTAACTAGTCATAAGTTGTCCTGTGATACTCCAATACTGAAACTATGTATAGTGCCAAAACAAAAGCATTCACATTGCTAAACTCACAAACTAGTATTTAGTCACTTAGCCATAATACCAACTTACCTCATAATTTTATAATATTTTAAACTTAAGATTTAATCTAAGTCTGCCCGAAATGCCTAGCCATGCTAGGTGTTCTAGTGGTACACTCTGTAATTATTATTTTACTACATGTAAACCACACCATAACCAAATTCTGTAAACTCAGCATTGTAATCCTTATAGAGAATAAACTTTGAATTGAATTGAATTGAATTGAGCCCCCCACTAGAACACCTAGCATGGCTAGGCATTTTGGGCAAACTTAGATTAATTCTTAACCCTAAATTATAACAAATTGTGGAGTAAGTTGACTAAATACTAAGTGACTGAATACTAAGTGACAAATACTAGTTTGTGAGTTTAGCAATGTGAATGCTTTTGTTTTCTCACAATACATAGTTTCTATATTGGAGTATCACAGGTAAACTTATGACTAGTTTGGAATCATTATTTTAAGATTAGGATACGTATTTCTGTGCTTATAGTCAAACGGGTGAGTGAGTGAGTATAAATGTGGACCACCAGGTGGTTTTTATGTAGTTAGTTGATGGGGTGTATCAGGGAGATAAGATGTTTTCTAACAGTAGTTTTGAAGGTGATGAATGTGCCTGCTGTTCTAGAGTTTTCAGGTAGAGTGTTCCAGATTTTAGAGCCTTTGACATACATTGAGTTTTTGTAAAGGTTTAGTCGGACACGGGGAATGTCGTAGAGATGTTTGTGTCTGGTGTTATGCCTGTGGGTCCTGTCACAACTATCAAGAAAGCATTTTAGGCCAAGGTTAATATTGGAATTTAATGTCCTGTATATGTAGATTGCACAGTAGTAAGTGTGGATGTTCTGAACAGGGAGTAAGTTTAGATCTATGAAGAGTGGGGGGGGGTGTTGCCAGGGATGGGAATTAGTGATTATTCTTATTGCAGCATTATGTTGAGTTATTATTGGCTTTAGGTGTATTGCTGCAGTTGATCCCCAAGCACAAATAGCATAGGTGAGGTATGGATAAATGAGTGAATGGTATAGTGTGAGAAGGGCATTTTGCGGCACGTAGTATCGTATCCTGGAGAGGATCCCAACTGTTTTGGATACTTTTTTTGATGTGTGTTGGATATGGGTGCTGAAATTTAGGTCATTGTCGAGGTATATGCTTAGAAATTTGCCCTCATTATGTCTGACAATTAGAGTGCTGTTGATCTTAATGTTAAGTTGCGCAGCACCTGCTCTGCTACCAAACATAATGTATGTAGTAGGTTTTGTCAATGTTAAGTGTAAGTTTATTGGCTGTCATCCAAGTTGATATTTTGAGCAGCTCCTCGTTAACAATGGTGTTGAGGGTGGCAAGATTAGGGTGAGAGATGACATAAGTCGTGTCGTCAGCAAAGAGAATGGGTTTCAGGTGTTGGGATACGTTTGGAAGATCATTGGTGTAAATGAGGAAGAGCAGGGGTCCAAGGACACTTCCCTGCGGAACTCCAGTATCAAGTGGCCGTGTTGATGAGGCTGTGTCTTTAATGGTGACATACTGATACCTATTAGTAAGGTAGGATTTGAAATATGCAAGCGCATGGACTCTTATACCATAATGGTCAAGTTTGTGGAGTAGGATGCTGTGGTCTACTGTGTCAAAAGCTTTTCTTAGGTCAATAAAAATTCCATGCGGATATTCCTTATTTTCCAATGCTGTGTACAGCAGATCTAGCATTTTTACAATTGCATCATTAGTGCTTTTATTTGTCCTGAATCCAAATTGGCAGGGGTTGAGTATGTTTTGTGCTGTTATAAATGAATATAGTCTGTGCACGAGTTTCTCGAAGATTTTGGATAGCAATGGTAAGTTTGATATTGGCCTATAGTTGTTTACATCTGTAGGGTCACCACCTTTATGTATTGGTGTAACCCTTGCTGTCTTGAGTAGTTTCGGGAAGGTGCTAATTTCTAGTGACTTGTTAAAAAGTAATGAAATAGCATGCAAAAGGACATGGGCCGCTCGCTTGTACAATAATGGTGGGACATGAGACAGGTTCCCTGAGTTATTTCTGAGTAACTTTATAATCTCAGTGACTTCGGTGGGTTCAGTTGGAACAAGATAGAAGGAATTTGGGAAATTCCCATCTAGATAGTCCCCGGCATGGGCTAGCTGTTAGTCGAATTTGCCGTTAGTCGAATTAATTTTCCCCATAAGAAATAATGGAAATAGAATTAATCCGTTCCAGACACCTAAAAGTATTAAACAAAATAATTTTTTTTTACATGAAATGTACATTTCCCTACACAAAAACGAATGGGACATGCAAAATAAACAATAATTAAATGCCACTTCCCTTTATTGTGGAGTTATTGATGAGTGATGAGACGGCAGGAGGGCAGATGATGCAGGTGTTCTATTGTTTGGAAGGGGAATCCCCTTCCATAAAGACTTGAGGTTCTAAGTCCTTTGGTGGGGTTACCTCCCTTCTTGGTTTTTTAATGCCACTAGGACCAGCTTGAGAGTCACTGGACCCCTGTCGCACCAAAAATCTGTCCAGAGAGCTCTGTTTTTCATGTGCCCTTATGATTTCCCTAAAATGGGACACAAGAGTGTCATTGTACATCTTGCCTATACGGCTTGCAACTGCTGTGACAGGATAAAATTCATCGATAAATGCTCACACCTGTGTAAACATTGTACACATTTCCCTAATCCTTGACGAAGTCATCTTCCTCCGTCTCTCTTCCTCCTGCTCTGAAGAACATTCCTGAGATGTGATCTGTTGCTGTTGCTCCTGAAGCTCTTGCAGGTCTGCAGTGGTTAGTTCTTCCTTGTCGTTCTGCACCAACTCTTCCACATCCTCGTCATAAACCTCCAACCCCAAGGACTTCCCCAGTAACACTATAGCTTCCACTACTGGCATAGGCTTCTGAGGATTAGCCCCAAACCCTTCAAAATCCCTCTCTTGTACACATTGTGGCCACAGTTTCCTCCAAGCAGAGTTCAAATTCCTGGTAGTCACTCCCTACCAAGCCTTACCTATAAGGTTTATGCAACTGAGGATATTGAAGTGATCTTTCCAAAACTCTCTTAGGGTCAATTCAGTGTCTGAGGTCATTTCAAAACACTTTTGGAACACTGCTTTGGCGTAGAGTTTTTTGAAGTTTGAAATAACCTGCTGGTCCATGGGCTGGAGGAGAGTAGTTGTATTAGGAGGCAAAAACTTAACTTGAACAAAACCAAACTCCCCTGCAATTTGCTCTTGCAAGTCGTGAGGATGAGCAGGAGCATTGTCCAATCCCAAGAGACACTTGAGTGACAATTTCTTTTCCTGGAGGTATTTTGTCACAGAGGGCCCAAACACACCATAAAACTAGTCTATGAAAAATTCCCTAGTGACCCATGCCTTACTGCTTGATTTCCACAACACACACAAATTACCCTTGATGATATTGTTTTTCCTGAACACTGGGAGTTTGAGTGATACACCAATAAAGGCTTCACTTTGCAATCACCACTAGCATTACTACACAACATTAATGTCAGCCTGTCTTTCATAGGCTTATGTCCTGGGAGTGCCTTTTCCTCCTAAGTAATGTAGGTCCTGTTTGGCATTTTCTTCCAAAACAGGAGTGTTTCGTCACAATTAAACACTTGTTCAGGTTTTAAGTTTTCAGTCTCTATGTATTTCTTAAAGTCCTTCACATGTTTTTCAGCTGCTTTTTTGTCTGAACTGGCAGCCTCACCATACCTTACCACAGTGTGTATGTCACTACGATTCTTGAATCTCTCAAACCAGCCTTTGCTGGCCTTAAACTCATCAATATCATCACTATTTTGAGGCATTTTCTTAATGAGATCATCATGCAACTGCCTTGCCTTTTCACATATTATTGACTGAAAAACACTCTCTCCTGATAATTGTTCCTTGTTTATCCATACCAATGACAGTCTCTCTACCTCTTCAATTATTTGCGCTCTCCGTTTTGAAAACATACTTGCACCTTTCGCAACAACAGCTTCCTTGATTGCCTTTCTGTTCGCCAAGATAGCACTGATGGTTGAACGGGATTTGTTGTATAGCCTTTCCAACTCGGACATACGCACTCCACTTTCATATTTTTCAATTATCTCTTTCTTCATTTCCATCGTAATTCTCACCCTTTTTACCACAGGCTTGGCACTAGAAGCTTTCTTGGGGCCCATGGTGGCTTATTTAGTGGCTACAAGCACTAAAAACACCGAAATAATACAAAATATATCGCAGGTACACATGGAATCGACCACAACAGCTTGTCAACAATGGCACACTGAGTCTTGGAGTGGCTGGGCTTGCTCAGGCCACGCTCCAGCCACTTGGACACGTTCGGGACGAAAGCCATTAGATGAGCTTTTCGCCATTGGTAGAGCCATTTTTTATGCCAAAGAACGCCGTTAGACGAATTTGCTGTTACTTGATGCCGCCATTGGGCGGGGGTCCGCTGTACCTCTCTGGGTGGGAGAAATGGTTATAGATAGTGTGGTAGGTAAGTTTGAGGTGCAGGTGTAAATGATAATGGGGAGCCTTTGATTGAAGTTTGTATAGAAAAAGTTTCGTAAGAGGTAATACGTATTTTAACCCTTTGACTGTTTCGGTCGTATACTATATACATCTTATGAGGTACCGTGTTTCACGTATATATACAGTTCTCATAAATTCTAGCGGCTTCAAATCAAGCAGGAGAAAGCTGGTAGGCCCACATGTGAGAGAATGGGTCTGTGTGGTCAGTGTTCCCCATATAAAAAAAATCCTGGAGCACGCAGTGCATAATGAGAAAAAAAAAACTCCGACCGTTTTTTTTTTTTAATTAAAATGCTGACTTTGTGGTCTATTTTTGTATAGAATTTATGGTTGTATACTCGTTTTCTTGGTCTCAATTGATAGAATGGAAAACATATTATAGAAATAGAGGTGATTTTGATTGGTTTTACTATAAAAAGAACCTGGAAATGGGGCTCAAAGTAGAGGAAATGTTTGATTTTTTGCTGATGTTCAGAAGTAAACAAATGATGTCATTGTCCAATAAATGTCCAACTAGCCTTTCTAATATGCAGTCATGAATGGGTTGACATTATTTGTACAATTATTACAATATTGCAGTAGTCTGCATAACAGTAAATCTTCTATTTTTTGTTTGAATAAAAATTCAAAATAGAAAGCAAGAGTAATATCAGAGAGGCCTGGAGATGTGACTGATGAACAAAGAAATGTTATTTTAGAGCCAGGAATGTCTGCATTGTTCATTCTGGACCTTATTTTGAAATTGTCATATCTTTTAATTTTCATGAAATTTACCAAATTGCAAATTTCTGACCACGTTATTGGGTAGTTGAATTTGGTCGACTGGAACAATGGAATTAGCCAAAAATAGGGCTCAAAGTGGGCAAAATTGCCGATTCGTAAATATCGCAGAGGTCGCTAACTTCCCGAGAGCGTAATTCCGTCAGTTTTCCATCAAATTTCGCTTTTTTGGTGTCATTGCAACCGGGAAAAGATTCTCTATCATTTCATAAGAAAAAAATAATTTTTTTTTTTTTTTAAATTTTGTGACACCAGGAGACACCTCAGGATTGGGGGTTGCGACAGTCAAGGGGTTAAGGAAGAAAAGGATAAATAAATACAGCCTTTTCTCACTTAGCGACATACTCATTTACAGACGACTCATACTTAGGACAGGCTCTGACCAGTATGCACACCTAAATAATGTACAACCTCTCCTAACTGAACAATGGAGTTCCGTTTCTAAGACCACGTCGGTCAGTGAATTTGTTGTTAAGTGAGGAGCATATTTGAATGGTAGTGGGTTTGTGTCGACCATATTTGATATTGTTCTAATGTCACTTTTGCACCATTTATAACATTTCCGGTATATTTTTAAATGTTTATACAGTAGTGCACTATATATTGTGATGATGAAAGTAAGACACATGTGCAACATCTGGGTATCTTTATTGTAGACGTTTCGCCAACCAGTGGCTTTATCAATACAAATTCCAGGACATAACTTGAAGACAATAGAACTATGTACAGGAGATGAGGTAATCAGTCCCTCAACCTTGGAGTAGGTGCGAAGAGCACCGTAGTCGTGGAGATTCTTCAGCATTGTGTTGGATAAATACACGAGTGAGAGGGGTTGGATGTGAGTGGGACCTGCACATGAGTAAATAGAATTATCAAAGCTTATTGCTTGGGTAGCATTGAAAATTGGGTTGGGCAAATATTCTGTTAGTGGAATGGATTGTGAAGGACCTGCCTAGTATGGGCTAACAGGCCTACTGCAGTGTATTATTATTAGTACGTATGTAATAATAATAATAATAATTATATTATTATTATTATTATTACATATTAATTTAGGGAAGTGGAGCACAGATCTAGTTTCCTTGATCAAGAGCCCCTCACCAAGGAACCTCCCTTGAGGGGGAAGTTCACATCCTGAAATTTTGTTCGTATCCAGAAGCAAAAAATCGATCGAGTGACTATTCGTATCCTGAAAAATTCACATGGTGGAGCATTCGTAAGCCGAGGTTCCACTGTACATTATTTAGGTATGCATTCTGGGCAGAGAGCGTGTTTTAAGTCCGAGTCGTCAGTAAATGAGTACGTCGCTAAGTGAGGAGAGGCTGTATATTAGACCTGATTTCCTCTGATCTGTTTATTACAGTATACAGTACACTACTGTATAAACATGTGTGGTGTGAATATTATGCAGAGAATTCGTAGTTTGGAAGTTAGGAGGAGGTGCGGGATTACCAAAACTGTTGTCCAGAGGGCTGAGGAAGGGTTGTTGAGGTGGTTCTGACATTTAGAGAGAATGGAGCAAAACAGAATGACTTCAAGAGTGTATCAGTCTGTAGTGGAAGGAAGGCGGGGTAGGGGTCGGCCTAGGAAAGGTTGGAGGGAGGGGGTAAAGGAGGTTTTGTGTGCGAGGGGCTTGGACTTCCAGCAGGCGTGCGTGAGCGTGTTTGATAGGAGTGAATGGAGACGAATGGTTTTTAATACTTGACGTGCTGTTGCAGTGTGAGCAAAGTAACATTTATGAAGGGATTCAGGGAAACCGGCAGGCCAGACTTGAGTCCTGGAGATGGGAAGTACAGTGCCTGCACTCTGAAGGAGGGGTGTTAATGTTGCAGTTTAAAAACTGTAGTGTAAAGCACCCTTCTGGCAAGACAGTGATGGAGTGAATGATGGTGAAAGTTTTTCTTTTTCGGGCCACCCTGCCTTGGTGGGAATCGGCCAGTGTGATAATAAAAAAAAAAAAAAATACAGTACACTACTGTATAAACATTTAAAAATATACCAGAAATGTTATAAATGGTGCAAAGGTGAAATTAAAACATCAAAGATGGTTGACACAAACCCATTACCATTATAGTATGCTTACTGATGTGGTCTTAGGAACAGAACTCTGTTGCTAAGTGTGGAGAGGCTGTATACAAGATATGATACAGGACGTAATGAAAGTAGTTTGTTACACTATGTATTGGTAATGCAAGATAAGCCATGGGGGGGGGGTGGAAATCTTTAGCTCAAGTATTTCACACTTCTCATTTCATCATCAGGAGCCATGCAATGTTGCAAAGGTAGCAGCAGGAGAAATGAGGGGAAGTTTTCTCAAGAGTATGGTAACGTGAGTGACACCCACTTGTATCTTTCTTAGAGAGAGATGCAAGTGGGTCTCAGAGAGACCTGCCTAGGCCTATCACATCTCTCTGAGAGACGTGATAGGACTATGTAAAGTAAAAGGACACAAGTACAACTAATGTGACATTTTATTGTGGCAATGTTTCACTCTCCAGGAGCTTTGTCAAGCCGTTAGGACTAGTCCATGATAGGACTAGGCAACTACAGTACACAGTGCTAGCAGCTTATTCCCAGAAGTTTAGTTAGCTGTCCAAAAATACATACATGTATGTATGAATCAAAACCTGTGGAACTGTCACACTTGCAATGATTATAAATCAGTGTATCTAGCTAACTATTCACTGCCCTTCATAAAAAGTATCACCCAAGATATCTTTGAGACTCCAGGCTTCGTTTCACACACACAGTGCATCAGTACTTTACTTTACTAAAACACTACAGCATACCACTTTTAGGCATGGTGGACTCTGGAGATAGTTACTTTTTGGCAGTCATGCCTGCTACAGAGTTGTGACATATTACCATGATGTAATGGCATGTTATACTTACTGCATAGAAAACTTGATGATGACCACTAGATATGATGTAACTACTGGAAATAACTGGTGGAAATTTGGGGAGGCAACTTTTACTCTTAAAATGATTGTGAAGAACCTCGGGCTAAACTTCATAAGCAAGATAGTTATGAAACTCATAGCATCAAAGTGCATTTCATATCTGCTCAACAGGTTTGCTGTCACCTTGAGTATAGCCTGTCTCCCTCTATTATCTGTGACTTAGTGACAAAGTACAGTATAAAATTATGCAGAGCAATTCATCTGGAGCCATAAGTTAGTCAGGCTGGACTTGTCATTCCAGCAGAGCCTTCAACACTGGAGAGATAAGGTACAGTAGAACCTCAGTACTTGAACAGCTCCCTACTCGAACAAAGCTCAGCACTTGACTAAACAAACACAACTTGCTAGAACTTCGCTGTAAACTATTTCATGTTTCTTCACATTTTTTGGTGTTTTTTCATATTGTATAAATAAGTCACCATGGCACCTATGAAGATTAGTGATAACAGCCAACCAAAAAGAAAATTGGTTGGGAAGAATTTGTTCGATACTCGAACGGATTGACACTCGAACAGCCTTCTGGAATGATTTAGGTTCCACTGTATTTATTAGTGTCCCTACTGTTATAATGATACAAGGTATTGTACTTACTGTCCCTTACCTGGTCCAAGTTCATGGAAGGTTAAATAACAGCTTTTATGTCATAAAAACATGTTCCTTTTGGTATTTCTTCATTGGCAGAATTCTTTTCAATGATCAGTACTCCTTTGTTCCTCAGCTGACTCCCACTTGAAACATATTTTTGTAACAGATACTTGAGAAATAGTGATGAAATGAAAGCCAGGTCATTGATTCCTCTAAGTACACCCTGCACTCAATACAGTATGTACCTGTGTTGCTTAATTGAGAAAGCAGTGTATTGTATTCATCTATATTGTATTGTATTTAAGAGAGAAAAAAATGAGAATTTTATTTTTTATAGTGTTTGGTAAATTCTAATTGCTTATGTTCTAAATTAAATTGTTATTTTATCTCTTATTAGGCTCCAGCGGAGGAAGTGCGTTTGCTAAAGGAGAAATTAAGCCAGGCAGAAAGATCTCGGGATCTGGCTCATCTGGAAGGTACTTTACGTCTTTGTATTTAAAATTAATTTATTCTGCATCTTCTTGTTACTGAAGTAAATTGATGAGTAACATACCGTTGACATTTTCCATGTATGTTGTGATGTTTCCATACACATCTTGTTGTTTACGTTACTTCAGCATCTGCTGTTTGGTGCCGGGTCACCAACTGGCCAAGATCAGTGAACCTCATACTACTACTGGTATTTGGTGAGCATTTTGGTGCTAAATCAGGGAAAGGTGATAATGTGACAGAATCATCCCCAGAAAGCTATGGATTATTATTTCCTTAACCCAGGTGACACTCCAGCAGGCACAAGATGGGTAGTAAATATCTTAACCCAGTGATGTATATAAACCCCTTAACTGTCCAAACATTGATCTTTGTTCTTACTTCTAGCACTCCAAACATAGATTGACATTTTATTTTTCCAGTCTCCAAATTTGGCACAGTTGACCTGAGATGCCTTGTCATTATAAAATGGGTCTTAACACTCAGTGTGTGCAGTATTCAAAAAAATTTGGGACCACTTAGTACCTTGTGGGAGCACTAGCTCAATTGAGTGCCAGCTAGAATAAAAGGCTGGCAAACACAAGGGATTCACTGATGCCATGTTGTATTAACATTCCACTTTTAAGAGGAAAGTGATGTTAACCCTGAGTTTAATGGCTTTGAGATGAATGTTGCCACAAGTGGTCTAGGAAATATCAAAGACCTTGATAATAACCCATGTGCAACATTTGTGCCACACCCTTTCAGTTTTGATACGACTGGTATTGTCATCCTGCCAGAATGTCCTATTAACCTATGCCTTAAGTAAAGAGAAATGATTCTGGACTGTGTAATACATGTTCGGCAGGTCAGCTGGTTGGGTGGCTGGCTGGGTGATTGGCTGGGTGGGTGACTGTGACTTTGTCTGTCTCTGTCTGTCACTGTTTCTGTGTCTGTCTCTCCTTGTTTCTATCTCACAGGTAAATTACCTAGGATAACCCAAAAAAAGCCAGACAAAGTGCTGTATTGTGCTTATAGATATAAGGCATAAGCATGACTGGCAAGTAATACGCATTTCACTTGTTCAGGAATGAGACGTGACAATTCTGCAGTGTGTGTAATACCTATTGGTTCATGAGTGGCTCTCTCTGAGACAGAGATACACACACAGGCAGACTGAGAGACAGACAGACAGACAGATAGATATAGATAGATGTAACAGTGAGAGCAAATAAAAAACATGCCAAGGTTCACTGGAAGCAGTGCATGATCAGCAATATTGAGTGATGAGTGACTGCACTATCAGCAGTGGAGAGTGACACTTGTCTGACACCATACTTCAAGGAGTTTCATATGCAGTGGACCCTCGGCTTACAATATTAATCTGTTCCAGAGAGCTCATCGTTAGATGAAGTTATCGTAAGTTGAATTAATTTTCGCCATAAGAAATAATGGAAATCCAATTAATCCGTTCCAGACACCCAAAAGTATGAAAAAAAATTTTTTTTTACCACATGAAATATACATTTTCCTACACACAAAAAGAAGGATACATGCACAATATATTGTACTAAATGAAGAATAAATGATACTTGCCTTTATTGAAGATGTAGTAATGAGAGATGAGACACTGTTTTTTTTGAACACACTGGGATTTTCAGAGTAATACATGAGTAAAGGCTTCACTTTGCAATCCCCACTATCATTACAAGAAAACATGAGAGTTAGCCTGTCTTTCATAGGCTTGTGTCCTGGGAGTGCCTTTTTCTCCCGAGTAATGTAGGTCCTGTTTGGCATTTTCTTCCAGAACAGGCCTGTTTCGTCACAATTAAACACTTGTTGGGGTTGGAATTTTTAAGCTTCACCATGCCTTCTTAAATCTCTCAAACCAACCTTTGCTGGCCTTAAATTCACTAATATGAGCACTAGTTCTAGGCATTTTTTCCTGTTCACCTGGGTGTTAGTCGACTAGTATGGGTCACATCCTGGGGGACAAGATTAAGGACCCCAATGGAAATAAGTTAGACAGTCCTCGATGACACACTGACTTTCTTGGGATATCCTGGATAGGGAAGTTTGGACAAGTGTATAGCTATAGCATTTTGGTCATGTAGAGTATGGTCACTAATACACATAATGGAGTTGGTGTTGTCTATGTGTTGTGCTGGAATGAGCTAAAGTACAACTAGGTATAAACTAATAATATAAAAATACAAATTAAAAATAGCACATGACTCTCACATGTAATTGCACTAAGGTCTAATGTAATGACTTTGGTATAGTCTATGTATTGAGCTAGAATGAGCTATAGTACAACAAGGTTTAATCTAATAATATAAAAATACAAATTAAAAATAGCACCAGACTCTCACTAGTAATTACACTATGGTCTAATATAATGAATTTGGTATTGACTATGTATTGAGCTAGAATGAGCTATAGTACAACTGAGTTTAATCTAATGATATAAAAAAGGCACAAGACTCTCAATTGTAATTGCACTAAGGTGTTATATAAGTTGTTTACAAGAATTAGAGTATAACTAGATTTAAATTGACAAGATAAAATATGCAAGTTAAGGTAGCAAAATAATAAAAAAAAAGAAGAAAAGAAAAAAAGAAAATATATGAGGTAGTTGGTACTAGTTGGTACAATAATATAATTGAAATATACACTAATTGCACACACAATATAGTCACTAAGATATGAAAACAATCTTAGAATAGGACTTATAATATAAACTTATAAAAATACAAATTGAAATGGTACTTGTAATTGCACTAGGGTCTGGTATAGGTTGTTGACAAGATCAAGAGTATAACTATATTTAAATTGACAAAATAAAATTCACAAATTAAAGTACCAAAAGAATAATAAGTAAAAAATAACAATGGCAATGTCTTGGTTATAATATGATAGTAAGATGGTAGACAGGTACACAGATACACAGGTACTGAGGCACACAAGTGCACAGGTACACAGGTACAAAGGATAATATAAAGGTTGGAGTTGAATATACAAACTTGGAAATTTGGCAACAAAATGTTATGGGAAGTATAAAATAATGATTAATGTACAAAAGTAAAATTGATTGGTAGTAAATATGGTGTTTAATAAAATTTTAGTAAGTAATAATGATTACAAAATAAGTGAAAAAGCAATGTTTATTTCTTTCAAAATTGCACTGGTAGTTATACTTGAGGTTATTTGGCAGTACAAGGTAATTAAGAGTACCCTAAGATAGTAAATGTGGTATTAAAACTGGTTAAGGTAATTAGACGAGTAATGGTTATTAAATGATGTCAAAAATGTTAAGAGTAAATTGTATTGATAGTAAAAATGGTAATTATTAATTTTAGTAAGTAATATCAATTGATAGTATTTAAAAAAATAGGTAGTAATATGGACAGAGAAAGTATCGATTCAGCTAATATTTAAGCAAACAATAGTAAATAAGAAATGAATGATGTAAGTCAAGTTTTTCTTCGTAGGTCGGGGAAAATTTTCTGCGCTGAAATGCTTCATAAGTTGATTTTATCGTAAGATGAGGCCTTCGTAAGTCAAAGATTAAGGAAATGTGTGCAAAGTGGGTTGAACTGCAAACCTTTATGGATGAAAATCACCCTAACACAGCTATTGCAAGCTGTCCTGGTGACTATTACAATGATAATGTTGTGGCCCATTTTAGGCAAATCTTAGAGGAATGGAAGGTACAGACCTCTATGGACAGATTTGTTGTGCGACAGAGGTCCAGTGACTTTCAAGCTGGTCCTAGTGGCATTAAAAGAAGAAGGGAAGTAACCCCGGAAAAGGACTCGCTACCTCAAGTCCTAATGGAAGGGGATTCCCCTTCTAAACAATAACTTCCACACTCTCCCCTCCTCCCATCCCATCAGTCATCACCAGATCTTCAATAAAGGTAAGTGTCATGTATTCTATTCTTAGTAGAGTAGTAATTGTCCATGTCTTCTTCAGTTTGTGTGTATTAAAATTAATATTTCATGTGGTAAAATTTATTTTTTTCATACTTTGGGGTGTCTTGCACGGATTAATTTTATTTCCATTATTTCTTATGGGGAAAATTAATTTGGCTAACGATAATTTCGGCTTACGATGAGCTCTCAGGGACGGATTAATATTGTAAGGCGGGGGTCCACTGTATAAGCAACATTTCTGCAAGCAGCAGGACTCCATTGCCACCAGGTGAGCATCCTGTGCTAACTTCACTGCCATATACAGTGGAACCTCAGTACTTCAACAGCTCCGTACTCAAACGCTTTGGTAAAAAAAATCGCTCAGTAATCGACCATTTGCTTGGCACTCGACCAAACAAACACTACCTGCCAGAACATGTGTGTTAGTCTCCTCGCAGCTGTTGCTCAGTCCTGAACTTCACTGTAAAGTATTTCGTGTTTCTTCGCAGTTTTGGGCATTTTTTTTTTATTATTTGTATAAATAAGTTACCTTGGGCCCTAAGAAGATTAGTGATAACAGTCAACCAAAAAGAAAATTGGTTTGTGTGTTTGCCCTGATGTAAACACTGTCTCTGCCTCTCCATATAATATGCCTTTTATTAATTTTGGTGTCTTTATTGTGCTTCCACGTTATCTGTCGTGTTTCTGATATCAAGTTGGAATAAATGTGACAGACAGATAACCTTTATTAGTAATATTAGTGTGATTACACAACATTGTATTCGCGCCACTGCTAGTATCTGACTATCAAGACAATTTATCAGATACTGAATGCTCCTTCTGCTGGCCCCTCCCTCTCTCTTCTATAGCTCCTCCTTTCTGTGTGGCAAAACGTTTCTTCAGTCAAGATTCCCATATGTTGCATAAGTGCCTCAATTCTTCAACTTGTCTGTTTTCAAAACCATTCATCACAACTGTCAGACACTGCATCATCATGGGATCTTGATACAAAGAATTCTTCAAAAGTTGTCCAATCTTTGGACAAAGACCTATTTAGACTAGTGAATGGTTCCACTATGACCCCACCTCCTCCTGCTTCGCCTCACCTGATGGCCCTGTGCTGTACTTTCTACAAGATTGATGGACTGAACACAATGACTCCAGGCTGAGGGACTGATTACCTCAAACTCCTCCTCTCCTTATATCTTCCTCCTTTGTATAAGACTGATGAAGTCACTGTGTGGTGAAACGTTTCTTCAATAAAGATTCCCATATGTTGCATGTCTCAATTCTTCACCAACAAGAGTCTGCAATAAAGGTAAGTGTGATATTGTTTTATACTCGATTTTTCATTCTTTTCTGTATGTAAATCTATTAAAAAAAAATAATTTTTGTTAATACCTTCCGGTGTCTGGAACGGATTAATTAGATTTACATTATTTCTTATGGGGAAAATTAATTCGGAAATCTTCAGATTCAGGTTTAGTCACTCTCTCTGGAACGGATTAATTACGAAAACCGGGGGTCCACTGTACATCTTTTTTTAAATTATTGTAATTCATGAGGAAGTGCTAAATGAAAAGTAATCAGATAAGATCTGATGGAGGGTGAGGGAGCATCAGTTCCTTGGATCAAGAGTTCTTCGCTAGCATCAAGGCATCCCTTTCTAAAGGGATGCCTTGATGCTAGTCACAGAATAATTCAAATAACTACTGGTACATGAAGTTTGTTTTTCTATTATCACATTTGCAGTGTATCAGGGAAGTAGGGAGGTTACACCATTATTCACTTTAATCTAAGGTTGAGATGATCATGAGACATGTTTGTATTATGATCCCTGTCAATACTCCACATTCAGATATCTATATGTAGGCCTGTAACAACATTGCATTAGCCAAGGACTCGAACCCATGCTGCTTTGGCCTGCCTCATGGTGGGTGAAAACACATGACGCCCTTATCCACTGAACCATATGATCCTTAAGAGTAGGGCATCCAGCGGAACTGGATGTTGTACTCCCTACCCAAGGACACACGATGGTGTGAATGACTCTAGGCTAATTTCATTCTAGTCCTGTTTGGTGTACTAGTTCAACGTGCAGTATTTTATATTATTGTGACCATGAACGAGTGGTATTTATCAATAACAACACTGCACTAGCCAAGGACTCAAACCCATGCTGCTTTGGCCTGCCTCATGGTGGGCGAAAACACATGACTTTCTTATCCACTGAACCGTACGATCCTTAACCCTTTGACTGTTGCAAGCCCCTTTCTGAAACTGTCATTCTATGTCGCTAAATTTTTAGAAAAAAAAAAAATCTCATGAAATGATAATCTTTTCCCGAAGGTAATGACACCAAAAGTACAAAATTTGCTCAAAAATTCACGGAATTACGCTCCTGCAAAGTTAGTGGTCTCGGCGACATATACACATCAGCGATTTCACCGACTTTGAGCCCTGTTTTTGGCCAATTCCGTTGTTCCAGTTGACCAAAGTCATAGCTATTTCTTTAGAACTCCATTTTTGCTATCAGTTGAGTACAAGAAACTGCCCATTTACTGATCTGAACTACCCAATAAAGTGGTCAGGAATTGGCAATTTGGCCAATTTCACACAAATTAAAAAAGATGCCAATTTCAAAATAGGGTCTGGAATAAACAATGTAGACATTCTTGGCACTAAAATAACATATCCTCTGTTCATTAGTCACGTCTCTAGGCCCCTCTTATATTACTATTGCTTTCTATTTTGATTTTTTATTTATACAAAAAAATACAAAATTTACTGTTATGCAGACTACTGCATTATTGTAAAAATGGTATAAATTCGACTCCCCAGTTGACATGTATTGGATGTGTGGTGTGATTTGCTTACTCCTGAACATTGGTAAAAATTGAACATTACCGCTACTTTGAGCTCAATTTCAAGGTCATTTTCATCGTGAAAGTAATCAAAATCATCTCTATTTCTGTAATATGTTTTCCATTTTATCACGTGAGACCATGAAAACGAGAATACAACGATAAATACTATACGAAAATACACCTCAAAGTCGGCGTTTTAATCCAAAAAAATGGTGCACACTGACCACACAGACCCATTCTTTCTCATGTGGGCCTACCAGCTTTCTCCTGCTTGATTTGAAGCCGCTAGAATTTATGCGTATAAATACGTCCGAAACAGTGGCTCGTAAGACGTATATATACGACCATAACAGTCAAAGGGTTAAGAGTAGGGCATCTAGTGGAACTGGATGTTGTACTCCCTACCCAAGGACACACGATGGTGTGGATGACTCTAGGCTAATTTCATTCTAGTCCCTGTTTGGTGTACTAGTTCAATAAGAAGTATTTTATACGTATTATTGTGACCACAAACGAGTGGTATTGATCAATAACAACTCTGCACTAGCCAAGGACTTGAACCCATGCTGTTTTGGCCTGCCTCATGGTGGGCGAAAACACATGATGCCCTTATCCACTGAATCATACGATCCTTAAGAATAGGGCATCCAGCGGAACTGGATGTTGTACTCCCTACATTATATTGTACTGTACAGGGCTAGAGTCATCCACACGATGGTGTGGATGACTCTAGGCCTGTACAGTACAATATAATGTAGTCAAATAATATATAATAGGTAGCAGTGTGATGTGAAAAATTTTGTTCCACTGATAACTTTTGTTTCTTATATTTTAGTATACTATATATTCACACAGCATTTTTTTATTCTGTAAATGCATGTGCAGTGGTGGAACGTGTTGGAGAGAACGAGGCAGTAAAGATGATTCGTGTTAAGGAAGGACTCTTGAAGCTTGGCGGAGCTTACTGTGAGCTTGCCCACAAGTGCCTGTTAATCTTTTCTGCACATCAGAACATTGCATCTCAGCTGCCAGATGTTCAAGACCGAGACCTGCAAGACATCAAATACACAGGTGAGTTACTGAACTCTTGTTAACTCCTTCACTGTCAAGACCCCTGCTCACAGACCTGTTCTCAGTGTCCAAGAACTTTAAAAAAAAATTATCTTTTCTTATGAAATGATAGAGAATCTTTTCCCAATGGTAATGACACGAAAAGTATGACATTTGATGGAAAATTTACGGAATTATGCTCTTGCGAACTTAGCGGTCTCGGTGATACTTACGCATCGATAATTTTGCCCACTTTGAGCCCTATTTTCAGCCAGTTCCATTGTTCCAGTCCACCAAACTCGTAGCTATTTCACTAGAGCTTTATTTGTTCTATCGATTGAGTAAAAGAAACCGCCCATTTACCGATTTCAACTACCCAATAAAGTGATCAGAAATTGGTAATTTGGCCAATTTCATACACAACTCAAGTAAGGCCAATTTCCAAATAGGGTCCAGCATTAACAATACAAACATTCCTAGCACTAAAATGACATTTTCTCTGTTCATTAGCCAAGTCTCCAGGCCCTTCTTATATTACACTTGTTTTCCATTTTGAATTTTTATTCACACAAAAAAATAGAAGATTTACTGTTATGCATACTACTGCATTATTGTGAAAACGGTATAAATAATATCAGCGCATTTGTGAAAGCATATTAGACACACCAATTGACATGTATTATACGTGTGACATGATTTGTTTACTCTTGAACGTCAGCAAAAATTGATGATCTTTGTCTTGTTATGGTCTTTCAAAGAAAGATCAGCTGACATAATTATCCCCAGGTCTTTTACTTGTTCCTTTCATTATATTTGGTGACCCTCTTGAGTTTTGTATATAGTGTTTCTTTTGAGTTCTTCATTCTTTCCATACCTAAGCAGCTGGAACTTATCGCCATTGAACATCATGTTGTTCTCCCCTGCCCACTGGAAAACCCTTTTTTTTTTCTCTCTCTCTCTCTCTTTATTTTTTTCTTTTTTTTAATTTATATAATTTTTATGTTCTGACAATTACAGTTTATAGTAGTTCTTGTGATTGTATAGTAAATTTTTGTTCTGACACTAATGTTAGGTATTGAAATAGTAATCAAATTTTAGTCACAAACACACTGACAGGTGAACATTTTCACCTGCCTTGGTCACATACTATTGTCTAGAAATGTATATACAAAGTATTTATAGGTCCCAGCAATGTTTTAGACATGCTGGAGTATATGAAACTCCTTGAAGCATGGTATCAGACAAGTATCACTCGACACTACTGACGGTTACACACTGTTATACATAAACATATTTGTCTAACTCTTTCGCTGTTTATCTGTCTGTCTGTCTGCCTGTGTGTGTCTGACTCCCTGTCTATCAAGGAGAAGTTTGAGAGGAGGGTTTATAGTGGAATATAATACGTATTCTGTATATATAGTAGTCACAGTAATATGAGTGAATATTTTGTATATTAAGTGAGTTCAAGCTCTTGAAGAGCAGTGGGGTGTGTAGCCTGGCATAGGAGTTGGTAAACAACCGCACAGCAGCTTTTTGTTGGGTTATTAATGGTTTAAGGTGATTGACCGTGGTTGAACCCCAGGCACAAATTCCATAAGTGAGGTAAAGGTAGATTTGAGTGTGTATAGTGCAAGGAGTGATATTTAGGGTACATAGTACCATATCTTGCAAAGGATGCCTACTGTTTTGGAGACTTTCTTGGATATATGCTGGATTGCAGTCAAGGTGAAGACCTAGAAATTTACCCTCAGTGTGTCTTGTAATGGGGGAACCATTTATCGATATATTTAGCTGGATATTTGAAGCTCTGTTTCCAAACAGTATGAAGTAGGTTTTGTCTTGGCCAGAACTTTTGAAATGAAGCTCAGTGTTTTGCACATGCTAGGATGTATTACGATTGATTCTAGGCAATAGTATGCACCTGGAAATTGAACCTGCCCATGGAGTTGGTCATCACCCTTGCTTTGGTGAGGGAATAGAGGTCAAATGAAAGGTTCATTGTTAGTCCAGCTGAATCAATAGGATGGTCTTGCATCACTGTCCACTGTCACTATTTAATAGGGAGGTGTAATCAGCTTGGGTCAAATAAGCATTAGACTCCTGACACCATTTTGATCCTTTGGCCGCCACTTATCATATACACCTACCATCCGACTTACGACCTGCTCGACTTACGACCGTGTTTTTTATGCCAAATTTCTGGGAAATAAACAACTATTTGTGTTGTACACAGTGTTTATCCTAAACCTTACAGTATAAAATACAGTACTAACAGCATAAAAAGTAAAGTAAAATATGAAATACCAAAATAAAACAATAAAATAAAGTCATTACAAAAATGTTTTGTTGATATTCAGTAGTAAAGTTCGACTTACGACCATTTCGACGTACGACCAGTTTCTCGGAACCGAACTCGGTCGTAAGTCGGATGGTAGGTGTATATCCATGTATAATTTGACTCCATAAATAGGTCGACCTTTGATGTTTTGCCAAAAAAAAACATAAAGAAAAAACTTTCATCATCATTCAACACTTTCACCATCACTCATATATAATCACTGTCTTTACAGAGGCACTCAGACATGACAGCTTTGACTCATATACCTAATGTTAAAATAAAAATAGCTATTATATATTTATGCCAAAACACATGAATTAGAAATATATGAGAATTTTTCATATGAATTATGATAAAACTTTCTATATTTTTAGGAGTAGAATAAGCATATTGTGAACATACAGTAATATTTATTATCATATATCATTATTACAGGTGCAGGATCTGCCAAGAAGTTCGTACAGGATGCAAAGGAGCAGGTGCGAGCTTACCGTCGTCACAGTATATCTCAAAAGCCACCCATACCCGAAGATCCTCCTCCACCATATACCCCATCTGTTGAACACCTTAATGATCTTTCTTCAAATACCAATCTTAGTGGAATAAATAACTCTTCTCATAACATGCCTTACAATATGAACACTAATTCTATTGCTGAACCATCTGCTCCCAGGGCTTCCATGTCATCACTCGACTCGCCTGAACATCTGCCTCATACTAGAGGATCCAGCTTATTACACAGTGTATCTCACAGTAACAATATTAGCTCTCACAAACACTCAACACCTAATGCTCCTCCTACAACTCCACATAGTACACCAAGCCATATTCACTCAGACCTTCCAAGACCACCAAGAACATATCCATTCTTCATTCCTAACAGCCCCTCTCTTCCTGAAGACACACATCCTCCATATTCTCCTTCTTCTCCTCAGTCTAACAGTGAACCAAACTTATCTAAGGACTCCCACATTGATCAAGTTGTGAGGTATCCTCCACTGAGTACTTGTGATAACACTAGCTTTAATGAGAGTTCCTTTCATCCTGACACATCATCATCCAGCCCTAATCTTGCCTCCAGTCGACAACCAGCAATACTGACACCTGAGAGCTCAGCCCCGTACAATCCATACTATGAATGGTTGCCAGATAAAAGTGATAAGGAAAAAAGTGGTGAGAAAATAAATGGTAAATGCTCACCAGAAGACCAAAAAATGCTCATCACTACTGTTAGTAAATCAGAAAAGGGGGAAAAAAGACATGATTCCCATTCAGTTGCTCCATCTGTTCGTCCAAGGGTAAACAGAAATCCCTTTACAGATGGGTGCTCAGACGAAGAAGGAATGAATCAAGAGAGCTTATCTGGTGCTTTGAGAAAGACATCAATCAGGTAATAATAAAAATATTTTTAAATTCATTAAATAGCTGTGATTATATAGAGACTACATATCATATAGGAAAATTAGATATAATTTTACAGTATTGCTTCAAGTGCTATTCTCACAAACTACATTGAGATGCTAACCCTTAAGCAGTAGCCTGTGTGGCCCTTCCCTTTCCCTCCTTTGTTAGCATTTTTCTTAAAAATAAATATTTATAATTATAAAATCATAAGAAATGTCATATATTAATGAAAACCTATAAATTGTAAGTGTTTTTAAGTACTGTATTGTATATTATCATTGTGTGAGGATTCTTCAGTCCTTAAGCTTAGTGACACAGGTTAATAAAATCTTGCATAGCACCCAAATACTTATTATATTGTCCAGGCTGGCTGCTGCCAGACGCACTGTGCGTAGAGTTACTGTATGGGTACTCCTTGATTCCACTTGCCTGCAAGTTGACCCTACTTCTGGCAATGCAACCCTTTGGTGGGTGACTAGAGGTTGGATAAATTAGATGGGCTTTGCTCTTTTGGCTTATGTGCTAGTGTATATTGTTATTACAGTATTTTTTTTTTCAACAAACCAACCATATCCCACAGAGGCAGGGTGACCTAAAGAGAAAAACAAGTTTCTGTCTTTAAAATTATTAACGTATACAGAAGGGGTTACTAGTCCCTTGCTCCCAGCATTTTAGTCGCCTCTTACGACATGCATGGCTTACGGAGGAAGAATTTTGTTCCACTTCCCCATGGAGATAAGAGGAAATAAACAAGAACAAGAAATAGTAAGAAAATAGAAGAATACCCGAAGGGGTGTGTATATACGGCCACTCCTCACTTAACGACATAGTTCTGTTCCTAAAACCACATCGTTGCCAAGCAAGGAGCATACTAAAATGGTAGTGAGTTTGTGTCAGCCATCTTTGATATTGTTTTAATGTCACCTTTGCACCATTTTTAACATTTTTAGTATATTTTTAAATGTTTATACAGTAGTGTACTGTATATTGTAATAAACAGAATAGAGGAAATCAGCTCTAATATACATTATTTAGGTATGCATACTGGTATGCATACTGTGATAAGTCCGAGTTGTCAGTAAACAAGTACATCGCTAAGTGAGGAGAGGCTGTATATGCTTGTACAAACATGTGTAGTGTGACCTAAGTGTAAGCAGAAGTAGCAAGACGTACCTGAAATCTTGCATGTTTATGGGACGGAAAAAAGAAACCAGCAATCCTGCCATCGTGTAAAACAATTACAGCCTCTCCTCACTTAACAACAGAGTTCTGTTCGTAAGACCACGTTTGTAAACGAATTTGTTGCTAACTGAGAAGCATACTATAAGGTAGTGGGTTTGTGTCAGCCATCTTTGATATTGTTTTAACCCTTAAACGGTCCAAATGTATATATACGTTCATGCGCGTAGCGCCCCAAACGTATATATACGTTTTCTTTGTCATTCATTCAACATTGCCACAATAAGCCTGAGTCACCTAGACATGAGAGAATGGGTGTGCGCACTCACTGTGTGCCATATTAAAATAATTTGGGATGCCTGGGTACCATATGCTCTTTTTTCCTTTTAAAAAAAAAAAGTTTTTTTTTCTCTCAAAAAATTTGGGGCGCTATGCGAGTGAACGTATATATACGTTTGGACCGTTTAAGGGTTAATGTTACCTTTGCACCATTTTTAACATTTTTAGTATATTTTTAAATGTTTATACAGTAGTGTACTGTTTGTTGAAATAAACAAAATAGAGGAAATCAGCACAAATATACATAATTTAGGTATGCATACTGGTCAGAGAGCCCGTCGTAAGTCTGATTTGTTGGTAAATGAATACATCGCTAAGTGAGGAGAGACTGTATAGGTTTCCGTTTTACACTCATTTGGCTGGACGGCAGTGCTTTCCTGGGTGGTTGTTGTCTACCAACCTACTACCTACATATTACATTATTATTATTATTATTAAGTGGACCCCCGCATAACGATATTAATCCGTTCCTGAGAGCTCATTGTTATGCGAAATTATCGTTATGCGAATGAATTTTCCCCATAAGAAATAATGGAAATCAAATTAATCCGTGCAAGACACCCCAAAGTGTGAAAAAAAAAAATTTACCACATGAAATATTAATTTTAATACACACAAACTGAAAAAGGCATGCACAGTTACATGACACTTACCTTTATTGAAGATCTGGTGATGATTGATGGGATGGGAGGAGGAGAGAGTCTTGGTGTTTAGAAGGGGAATCCCCTTCCATTAAGACTTGAGGTGTCAAGTATTTTTCTGGGGTTACTTCCCTTCTTCTTTTAATGCCACTAGGACCAGCTTCAGAGTCACTGGACTTCTGTCGCACAACATATCTGTCCATAGTGGCCTGTACCTCTCGTTCCTTTATGACTTCCCTAAAGTGTTTCACAACAGTGTCAGTGTAATAGTCACCAGCACGGCTTGCAATAGCTGTGTTAGGGTGATTGTCATCAAAAAAGGTTTGCACTTTAAGCCACATTCCACACATTTCCTTAATCTTTGAAGTAGGCAACTTCTTCAATTTCTCTCTCCCCTCCTCCAAACCAGTTTCCTCAGGTCTGGCCTCTTGCTGTTGAAGTTGATCTAGCAGCTCATCAGTGGTTAGTTCTTCATTGTCCTCCTCCACCAACTCTTCCACATCCTCCCCACTAACCTCCAACCCCAGGGACTTTCCCAATGCCACAATGGATTCCTCAACTGGCATACTCCTCTCAGGGTTAGCCTGAAACCCTTCAAAATCCCTTTGGTCTACACATTCTGGCCACAGTTTCTTCCAAGCAGAGTTCAAGGTCCTCTGAGTCACTCCCTTCCAAGCCTTACCTATAAGGTTTACACAATTGAGGATATTAAAGTGCTCTCTCCAAAACTCTCTTAGAGTCAATTGAGTTTCTGAGGTCACTACAAAGCACCTTTCAAACAGAGCTTTTGTGTACAGTTTTTTGAAGTTTGCAATAACTTGCTGGTCCATGGGCTGCAGGAGAGGAGTGGTATTAGGAGGCAAAAACTTCACCTTAATGAAGCTCATGTTCCCATAAAGTCGCTCTGCCACGTCTGTAGGATGACCAGGGGCATTGTCTAACACCAGGAGGCACTTAAGGTCTAATTTCTTTTCAGTTAGGTAATCTTTCACATTGGGGGCAAATGCATGGTGTAACCAGTCATAGAAAAAGTCCCTAGTGACCCATGCCTTACTGTTTGCCCTCCACAGCACACACAAATTAGCCTTGAGGATATTCTTTTGCCTGAACGCTCTGGGAGTTTCTGAGTGATACACTAATAAAGGCTTCACTTTGCAATCACCACTAGCATTGGAACACATCAACAGAGTAAACCTGTCTTTCATAGGCTTTTGTCCTGGGAGTGCCTTTTCCTCCTGAGTAATGTAGGTCCTGCTTGGCATTTTCTTCCAAAACAGGCCTGTTTCATCACAATTAAACACTTGTTCAGGTTTCAGTCCTTCACTGTCTATGTACTGCTTGAATTCCTGCACATATTTTTCAGCTGCTTTGTGGTCCGAACTGGCAGCCTCACCATGCCTTATCACACTATGTATGCCACTACGCTTCTTAAATCTCTCAAACCAACCTTTGCTGGCCTTAAATTCACTCACATCATCACTAGTTGCAGGCATTTTTTTAATTAAATCCTCATGCAACTTCCTAGCCTTTTCACTTATGATCACTTGAGAGATGCTATCTCCTGCTATCTGTTTTTCATTTATCCATACCAATAAGAGTCTCTCAACATCTTCCATCACTTGCAATCTCTGTTTCGAAAACACAGTTGAACCTTTGGCAAGAACAGCTTCCTTGGTTGCCATTTTGTTGCCCACAATAGTAGCGATGGTTGATTGGGGTTCATTATACAACCTGGCCAGCTCGGAGACACACACTCCACTTTCATACTTAGCAATGATCTCTTTCTTCATCTCTATAGTAATTCTCACCCTTATTGCTGTAGGGTTGGCACTAGAAGCTTTCTTGGGGCCCATGGTCACTTATTTTGCAGATAAAATCACCAAAAGCACTGTAATAATACGAAATGTTCCGATTGTATGCTTGGATGTTACCGTGGAGGCTGGCTGGTAAACAATGCCACCGGCGGAACATGTGAGGCTGGCTCAGGCCGCACATTAGACGCGTCTCGGACGAACAGCGTTGAGTGGGTTTTTTTAGCGGTATGCGAGGCAAAATCTTAGCGATAAAATGTATCGGTATGCGGATTTAACGTTATGTAATGCCAACGGTATGCGGTGGTCCACTGTATTATTATTATTATTATTATTATATTCATATGGGGAGCATTAATCCTTTAGGGGCTATATAGTGCCTGGAGAAATGGGAAGCAATTATTTCAGTTTAATGAAAGGAAGATCAGTCCAATTCTTTAGATCAGTTGCCCCTCACTGGTATAAAAGAGTTTCCCTGGAGGAGATACTAGGGTACAGTTCTTGTGAATTTGCTGCATAAAGAGAGTCACCTTTGTGTATCATTGGAAGGTTTGGGTAACATCTGATGAGTGGGGTGGTAGGTAGGTAATTCTAAAATTTGAAAAATACTTTCATCATTTAGACCCTCATTATTCTTGGCAGTTAAAAAAAAAAATACTGTAAAACCCCAAAAATATAAAGTTAAACATTTAAAGAATACTAGCATGTAGGAATTCACAGTACAAGTAAATAGTAGCACAAATTTTAATAACTAACATCATGTAAAAATCCTATTAAGTTGTTCATGTCAAAAGACTTGGTAGAGCTTCTCGAGTTCCCTACAAACACCGTGGCATACCTGGAGGGTGTTCCAGGGGTCAGCCCCCCATGGCCCAGTTCATAACCAGGCCTTGTGGTGGATCAGGGACTGATCAGTCAGGCTGTTACTGTTGGTTGCACACAAACCGACGTATGAACCACAGCCTGGCTGGTCAGGTACTGACTTTATGTACCTGTCCAGCTCCTCCTTGAAGACAGCCAAAGGTCTGTTGGTAATCCCCCTTATATATGCTGGGAAGCAGCTGAACAGTCTTGAACCCGATGCTTATTTGTGTTGTCTCAGCATACTCATGGTGCCCCTGCTTTTCATTAGGGGAAATGTTGCACCGCCTGCCAAGTCTTTTGCCTTCATAGGGAGTGATTTCCATGTTCAGATTTGGGACTAGTTCCTCTAAGATTTTCCAAGTGTATATTATCATGTATCTTGTCTGTATTCTAAGGAGTACAGGCCAAAGAACTTCAGCTGATCCCAGTAATTTAAGTGCTTTATATTGTACTTATACATGTAGTGAAAGCTCTCTGTATATTCTCCAGGTCTGCAATTTTGCCTGCTTTGAAAGGGGCCGTTAGTGTACACCAATATTCCAACCTATAGAGAACAAGTGATTTGAAGAGAATCATCATTGGCTTGGCATCCATAGTTCTGAAGGTTCTCATTATTCATTCTATCATTTTCCTAGCAGATGCGATAGAAACATTGTTGTGGTCTTTGAAATTGAGATTCTCTGTCATTATCACTCCCAGGTCTTTCACATTAGTTTTTTGCTCTATTGTGTGACTGGAATTTGTTTTATACTCTGATCCAGTTTTTATTTCCTTGAGTTTTCCATAACAGAGTAATTGAAATTTGTCTTCAATGAACTTCATATTGTTTTCTGAAGCCCATTTAAAGACTTGCAGTGTCCTCGGTGGATGACATTGTCATGCAAATTCTCGTATCATCAGCAAAGGAGGACATGGTTTTGTGATCTATATCACTGTACTTTGTGGAACAGCTTTTCACTGTAGCTGCCAGTGACTTTACTGTTCACTATTACTCTGTGTTCTATTTGTTAGGAAGTTATAACTCCATTTTCCCACTTTTCCTGTTATTCCTTTATCACACATTTTGTGTGATATTATGCCGATCACACTTGTCAAAGGTCTACTTTTACTAGAAAATAATCTCTCCTACATACCTTAACCTGACCCTTGTTATCCACATAAAAGCTCTTTACTACTTTTAGTAACCTACCACCGATTCTGTACATTTCCAACATCTGTCTTATTGCTTCCCTATCCATCCTACCATATGCCTTTTCTAAATCCATAAATGCAATGAAAAGTTCCTACCTTTATCCAAGTATTGTTTACTTATGTATTTCATTGTAAACACCTGGTCTATACATCCCCTACCCATCCTAACACCTTGTTCTTTTGCAGTCCTACTCTGTCTTACCCATAATTCTTTCAATAATAACTCTACTGTACACTTTACTTGGTATACTCAACAGGCTTTATTTTGTGTCTGACATGTCAGCTGTCTCCCACCGAGGCAGGGCGACCCAAAAAAGAAACACTTTCACCATCATTCACACAGTATCACTCACTTATATCTCCTTTTTTCTTGTATAAAGGAATGATGCATGCTCTGTGCAAATGTCTTAGGTACTGAACAAATGCACCAACCACTATAAAACTGTCTCTGCTGCTTTACTCCATTATATTCTACCTACTGCCTCGTGCACCTTCCCCGTACTCACATTTGACTTTCTTACTACTATTTCTTTGCAATAAAATAAAACCAAGACTGCTTGGTCAAGATTTGGGTTGTCCCAGGAACTGAAGCAGATCTAGTAAAAAACCATAAAACAAACCCTTCCTCAGGAAAACCACAAAAAAAAAAAATGTTTCTGCCACTTTGAGGCATATCTCAAGTTACTTACAATTTTAAACCAACCAAAATCATCTTTATTTCAATAGTATGTCTTTCATTCTATCAGTTGATACCAAGAAACAGCCAATAAAATAATAAAAACTACCCCAGAAAATGACTTGGTCACTATTTTAAATCAAATACACTATCAGAGATCAGCTGTTCCTGTCATGTGTTGTATGGTGTAGAATTTTTTGTTATACTGCACATCCATTGCACAGACCCATTCTCTCACGTCTAGGCCAAAATTTGCCATTCACAGCATATTTCAGGGTGCTGTGATTAAGATGTAGATCTACACGAGCAACACTGGGATCAGTAATGTAGATCTACATAGGAGACACTAAAAGGATTATCTCTATTTAACCAGATTAGTATTTTTAATGTCATGAGCATTGTTGTTATGTTCCAGACAGCAGTGAGTGATCAAATAACACTGGGTATATTTACAACTTAATGTTTTTATGAAGGCAGTGAATATAATGTGTCAGCAAGCAGAAGCATGTCTGCCTGGATCTTCCTGCACCCTAGAAAGATTCAATATTACGTATTTGCATGTTACAGTGGTACCTCGAGTTAAGAACTTAATTCATTCCAGAAGGCTGTTCAAGTGCCGATACCAAACAAATTTGTTCCCATAAGGAATAATGTAACTTAGATTAGTCCATTTCAGACCCCCAGAAATACTCTTACAAAAGCACTTACAAAAATACACTTACATAATTGTTCGAGTTGGGAGCTGTTCGAAACTCGAGGTACCACCGTACTTTCCTTCGTGTAATACCACTCTGAAACATACACAATGGTAAAGAACCTGTGTACATATAGTGCAAATGGTTCAGTACTATACCTTTGAAAAACTCCAAGTAAAACTGCAGTTGAATGGATCTCCATTAAACAGATTTTGTGAATAACATGCAAAATCTAATAGACAAATTGATTTAGGTAATGAGAGAGATGGATTACAAAAGTGTCCCTTACTATTACAATCAGCTGGTAAATATATTTTAAAAACAAAGTCTGTTGGTTAGAGATATATCTATTGTTTCAGATCACAGCAAAATTATCTCATTTTTTGGATTTCTCAAACATTGGGCATTAGTGGACACCCTCTTCTTACCGATTGGCTAATTAAATCAGTGTTCCACTTTATTACAAAAAACACCAATTGGGTTTTCCATTAGTGTCAGTAATATAAAAGTTCGGGATACATATATACACATTAAAATAAATTAATTTTTAATATAATATAAAAACAACACAATCTTTGGTCTAGAGGTATTTGAACTAATAAACATCTGATAATATATACATGTTACAATAATAAATTATTAGCATTTTAAAATAAATAATAAATCGTAACCCTACATACAGGGTACCACTTTTCAGATACTACTGTGTCATATATATGCATATGCTAAAATAATGAATTATAAGTAACATTTACACAATAACAAATAATAATCAACTCCGTGTCTCACGACACCCTAATGACGCTCTGTGTCTCACACAACACTTATATCCGAGTTGTGACGCTCCCTGTGTCACACGACACTTATCCGTGTAATGACGCTCCATCTCAACTGTGTCCCTTGACACCCTTTTCTCTCCGTCACACGACACTCCAGCTCTCCGTGTCACACGACACCCTTTTCTCTGTGTAATGACGCTCCTACTCAACCGTGTCCCTTGACACCCTTTTCTCTGCGTAATGACGCTCCTACTCCGTGTCACACGACACCCTTTTCTCTGCGTCATACACTTTCTCAACTGTGTCCCCCTTGACACCCTGTGACACACACAGCGTCTTTCTCGAGGCCAGTCACATGACACTATTCAATGTACACTACAACCGTAACTTCTTTAGTGTCACAAAACACCCTTTTCTTCTCGGTGTTCCACTACGGTCCTTTAGCATATCTCAGTGTTACACTCCATTATACTTCCTTCAGTGTCACACTACGGTCCTAGCCCAGTTCAGTGTCACACTCCAAACTTTTCTTCACGTAGTGTCCCACTAAAACAGCATCCGATGACTCCGGCCCACAGTTGACCAACGTAGGCGGTGAGTCCGCAGACATCACCTGGTAATCCTATAAATACTCTCTAAGGCCGGCAGAAGCACACCGTAAGATGGTCTGGTGGGTACTATCTACCGCCTTCAAGACCAGTTGACACATACTGTTTGCAGAACACCATGCTGCGAGCTCACTGAATGCGGCCGTCAAGTAGCTGAGGCCATCAGACTCGGTGAGCTGTGGTGAGCGGTTCTTCTAAAATCAGTAGAAGCCAGTAGAATACTGTACTCTCTACTGCCAGTAGATGTGTACCATTAGGTGTTCTGGTAACTACTGCTTAGATGCGTACCGTGAGGTGTTCAGGTACTTACTGCCTCTAAGGCCAGCTCAGCAGTCCCCACATTGGGTTTGATGACGTACCCATGGTACTGCCGGCCGGCAGGTTAACAATTTAACCGCTAGTTTGGTAGGGGGCCCGCAACACCCCCACTACAAAAGGACCGACACACAAAGATCAATGTAATATGCATCCCGAACTGTCATCCTGGATAAGATCATCCCAGAAATCATTCTTGATAATCATTATCCTCCCGGACAGGCCACTCATATATTACAAAAACACCAATTGGTCTTTTACATTAGGTGTTAGTAATATAAAAGTTCGGGATACATATATACACATTAAATAAATTATAATAAATATTTGGGTCCTATGTATGATTGTGTTAACTTATGTCACTAACACAAGAAAAGTTTCCATCACAGGAGTGGCAATGTTTTCCACTATAGAGTTTAAGACTTAAAACCGGTTGGTTGTTTTTGTAGAGATTATCACCAAGAAGGGGAAGATACATGTATTAATATTCTGTATGTGCTAATGTGACTGTTCACTCATGTTTACTCATACATATCTTGCTTCATACTTACATCTTACTGTATTGATAGTTTATCTGAAGCCTCTCTTATGATGGCATGTTTAATAAAATAAAAAAAGTGTTTATTTTTGTCCAAGTTAATTAAGCACCACACTAGTACTAACTGAATGCTTTCTTTACTTCTTGCTATTTATTATTATATTAACAAAATGCACTCAATCCGTATGGGTCATAAAACTTTTTTTTTTATAACATATCCCTAATCCATTTATTCAGCCTTTTGTTGCCAATTGAAAATTATGTATCAAGGAAGCCATAGTCTCTCTAGTGATAACTTGTACTCTGATTTTTCTTTGTAATGCAGTATATACTTATCCTATGCAAGTATACTGTTCTGTACTATAATTCAGTCAGTTTTTCACAAGAATGTTGAGCACAAGACTTACAAATTATATTTTTACTCATATTCAAATTTTAAATGACAACTAGACACTGAATTTTATTATGTAGCAGAGATCATAATATTATAACGGGATATAAAATAATGTGTAGCCTCATTACTTTATCTTACAGAAACAGATTTATTTAGTAGTAATGTTGTTACTTAATACAGTGGACCCCCGGTTAACGATATTTTTTCACTCCATAAGTATGTTCATGTGCCAGTACTGACCGAATTTGTTCCCATAAGAAATATTGTGAAGTAGATTAGTCCATTTCAAACCCCCAAACATACACGTACAAACGCACTTACATAAATACACTTACATAATTGGTCGCATTCGGAGGTAATCGTTATGCGGGGGTCCACTGTACTGTAAAATATTTTTTAACTAGCTATATGCACAGTTAAAGAATTTTAATGCATTTCCTAATGTCTGTAGTGTTGTATAGAGTTTTCAAAGAGGCATCTGCATCCTATAATTATTATCTATAAATTCACTATTTTCTGGCTGCTTTCCCATAAGTTGGGCAGATCAGGCGCAATAAAGTTTCTTATTCCATTCATAATTATCAATGACTTGAATAGAATGAGTCAAAGTGAACAGATTCTTATACATTGAGTCCTTAATCATCGTTACCTCACCAGGTAAATCCTTCGCTTCTATTAAGTCTTATATTGATGCTGGTACATTACACACATCAATAGTGGTGAGTTTCTATATACCTAACTTACCTGTGGTTTATCTGTGAATGGTTCTAGGAATCATCTCCACCAAGCCTTGATTCCAGGCCAGATCTCCCTGTTGATGACTTGATTAGTCAGGCTATTGGTTCCTATTGAACCCAGTTTTACATAAACACTACAGCCTGGCTGAGAAGAAACTTTCCTCAGGAACTTGTCAATTTCCCCCCATGACATAAAGTGATATTGTATATATACTATTAACAAACCCTTTATTTTGCAGTACTGCATTGCATTCCTGAACATTTTCACTGCCATGGGATGTTTGTTTTTATCCCAATCATTTTGCCAGATGAGAGTAGCTGTTCTGGTCTTGAAGGGTTAGATAATTTTTTTTTGGTGCTACTCTCTAAGTACAGTAAATCCTCGATTTAGCGAACTTCAGAAATACAGCACAAATTCTGCTGGGTCAGTTGATTTAGAAATGATGGACAAAGTTCAGGGGTTACAGAATTGTCCATTATTATGATCATAGCTAAAACAATCTCATTTCCATCCATCACCATTACCATTACCAACCACCTGCTCCCATTATGTCTTTTAATAGAGGATTTACTGTATTTTTTGTGAAAATCGGTTTTCCTAATCCCTCTCTCTCTCAATATGTTGTGTTTGAAGATTGTGAAGTACTAAATATATTTAAATACAGTACATAAATTATAAATTGTATTGGTAAATTACTTACCAATAACTCTGATGAAATAATAGGCTTTCTATGGCACATTGGGTTCAATGCCCCATTACAAAAAATACAAGGTTAAAACTCCCACTTTTTCACTCAGTAAATAGTGCTAGCTTTGTCCACCTAGCTCATTATTGGTGACCAACAAACAACAACAATTCCTACAAGGCAATCCCAGAATGTTTTACATGAGGAAAACTTGAATGTAAGGGTTGGGGTGGAATTATCGGAGCCACCACAACACAGGAAACCATTATTCTGCATCAGTGTTGCGTATTCAGTTTCATGGTCTCATGAGCCTCCTTTTCCCAAATCATTCCAGTGAGACCCATAATTCCATAGGGTGTTAAGGCACAACTCGGATTAAATTATTCAATAATGAAGCGCACAAAATGAACTGTGCTATAAAGATTTTGAGTGCTCTACTGAATCCACATTCCAACTTTCGTATGACTATTAAATTACAATTTGTGACATTGGTCAAGACCTATTTGATGGAACTGAAGATCCAACAACACTCAGGAGTCAAATACTGTATTAGGCCTGAGATTCCGAGTTATGTAGGTTGACTTAGTACCAAAAAAAAAAAAAAAAAAAATCACCACTAAAATTTATCACCAGCAGGCATCCCACATGTACAATAACTGAAAATACTCATTCAAACCATTAACTCAGTATAGTGAATTATTGTTGTGCAGGCCATCAATTTTAAATTGCTTCTTCAAGCTTTTATCATTATACATTAATCCTTAACCCTTTCAGTGTTGGTCCCGTTGTACTACAGTTTTGAAGCCAGTGTCAGTCCCGTAGTACAACGCCGTGAGCTCAGCTCACTCATATAAGCTGTGAGCAGTAAATTTGGGTGTAGATATGAAAGAATGGATCTGTGCAGTAAGTGTGCACCAATTAAAAAAATTCTGCGACACAGTGCATAACAAAAAAGTTTTTGGTTTAAAACAGCAACTTTGAGGTATATTTTTGTATGGTCTTTATGGTTGTATTCTCGGTTTCTTGGTCTCATTTGATAGAATGGAAGATATATTACAGAAATTGAGGTGATTTTGATTAGTTTCAGGACTGAAAGTAGGTTGAAATTGAGCTCAAAGTAACAGAAATGCTCAATTTTTGCCGATATTCCAGAGTATACAGAATACGCATTCAACTGGCCAGGCTGATGTGCATTTAGGAATGCAATGACATTATTTATACAATTATTACAATAATGCAGTAGTCTGCATAATGGTAAAAATTCTATTTTTTGTGTGAATAAATATTCAAGAGTATATGGAGAAAAAGAGAGAGGTTAAGAGAGTGGTGAAGCAATGTAAAAAGAGAGCAAATGAGAGAGTGGGTGAGATGTTATCAACAAATTTTGTTGAAAATAAGAAAAAGTATTGGAGTGAGATTAACAATTTAAGGAAGCCTAGAGAACAAATGGATTTGTCAGTTAAAAATAGGAGAGGAGAGTTATTAAATGGAGAGTTAGAGGTATTGGGAAGATGGAGGGAATATTTTGAGGAATTGTTAAATGTTGATGAAGATAGGGAAGCTGTGATTTCGTGTATAGGACAAGGAGGAATAACATCTTGCAGGAGTGAGGAAGAGCCAGTTGTGAGTGTGGAGGAAGTTCGTGAGGCAGTAGGTAAAATGAAAGGGGGTAAGGCAGCCGGGATTGATGGGATAAAGATAGAAATGTTAAAAGCAGGTGGGGATATAGTTTTGGAGTGGTTGGTGCAATTATTTAATAAATGTATGGAAGAGGGTAAGGTACCTATGGATTGGCAGAGAGCATGCATAGTTCCTTTGTATAAAGGCAAAGGGGATAAAAGAGAGTGCAAAAATATAGGGGGATAAGTCTGTTGAGTATACCTGGTAAAGTGTATGGTAGAGTTATTATTGAAAGAATTAAGAGTAAGACGGAGAATAGGATAGCAGATGAACAAGGAGGCTTTAGGAAAGGTAGGGGGTGTGTGGACCAGGTGTTTACAGTGAAACATGTAAGTGAACAGTATTTAGATAAGGCTAAAGAGGTCTTTGTGGCATTTATGGATTTGGAAAAGGCATATGACAGGGTGGATAGGGGGGCAATGTGGCAGATGTTGCAGGTGTATGGTGTAGGAGGTAGGTTACTGAAAGCAGTGAAGAGTTTTTACGAGGATAGTGAGGCTCAAGTTAGAGTATGAAGGAAAGAGGGAAATTATTTCCCAGTAAAAGTAGGCCTTAGACAAGGATGTGTGATGTCACCGTGGTTGTTTAATATATTTATAGATGGGGTTGTAAGAGAAGTGAATGCAAGGGTCTTGGCAAGAGGCGTGGAGTTAAAAGATAAAGAATCACACACAAAGTGGGAGTTGTCACAGTTGCTCTTTGCTGATGACACTGTGCTCTTGGGAGATTCTGAAGAGAAGTTGCAGAGATTGGTGGATGAATTTGGCAGGGTGTGCAAAAGAAGAAAATTAAAGGTGAATACAGGAAAGAGTAAGGTTATGAGGATAACAAAAAGATTAGGTGATGAAAGATTGGATATCAGATTGGAGGGAGAGAGTATGGAGGAGGTGAATGTATTCAGATATTTGGGAGTGGACGTGTCAGCGGATGGGTCTATGAAAGATGAAGTGAATCATAGAATTGATGAGGGGAAAAGGGTGAGTGGTGCACTTAGGAGTCTGTGGAGACAAAGAACTTTGTCCTTGGAGGCAAAGAGGGGAATGTATGAGAGTATAGTTTTACCAACACTCTTATATGGGTGTGAAGCATGGGTGATGAATGTTGCAGCGAGGAGAAGGCTGGAGGCAGTGGAGATGTCATGTCTGAGGGTAATGTGTGGTGTGAATATAATGCAGAGAATTCGTAGTTTGGAAGTTAGGAGGAGGTGCGGGATTACCAAAACTGTTGTCCAGAGGGCTGAGGAAGGGTTGTTGAGGTGGTTCAGACATGTAGAGAGAATGGAGCGAAACAGAATGACTTCAAGAGTGTATCAGTCTGTAGTGGAAGGAAGGCGGGGTAGGGGTCGGCCTAGGAAAGGTTGGAGGGAGGGGGTAAAGGAGGTTTTGTGTGCGAGGGGCTTGGACTTCCAGCAGGCATGCGTGAGCGTGTTTGATAGGAGTGAATGGAGACAAATGGTTTTTAATACTTGACGTGCTGTTGGAGTGTGAGCAAAGTAACATTTATGAAGGGGTTCAGGGAAACCAGCAGGCCGGACTTGAGTCCTGGAGATGGGAAGTACAGTGCCTGCACTCTGAAGGAGGGGTGTTAATGTTGCAGTTTAAAAACTGTAGTGTAAAGCACCCTTCTGGCAAGACAGTGATGGAGTGAATGATGGTGAAAGTTTTTCTTTTTCGGGCCACCCTGCCTTGGTGGGAATCGGCCAGTGTGATAATAATAAAAAAAAAAAAAAAAATATTCAAAATGGAAAGTATGTGGAAAACTGGTTAGATAAGTACACTTCTCTGCCTGACAGTAAACATATGACAAGCAATACTTATTTTTTAACAGCACAAATTCCAGCAGCCTCGTCCTGGATTCACCTTTGGGTTGCTGTAGAAGTGTCCACATAGGCTGTAGAATAGAGAGTTGAACTTTACAATTTGCTCCAAAGGAGCTATGTATAATTCAGCATATCACATTCACTAAGTGTGATGCTGATAAATACTCACTTGGTTTGAGTGAAGCACCCTTGCGTCATGGGTTCTAATGGTAACTCCAGTCAAATCTTACCTCTACCTATTAGCTGCAACTAACATAAGATGTGGGTATGACTGAACTTACCTGGGTATTGTAACAGACCCAATGTCCCCAAGTTTGTTGTAGGGGAGGTGTGACCCTGGTATTGTTGTTTTGAGTAATCTGCTACGAATGTGTAGTTATATTGTCCTCACTCATTGATATGGAGTTATTTTGGCCATTCATTATGCGATAGGGTGACATCTTGTCCCTTTGTTTATAACACCTGAATGCATACTGCGACACAAACTTTTACACTATCAGGGGTATACCGCGGATAATACACTCATGTTTCCTTCTGACACTAGTTTTCCTAGTGGAGATTAACAATATTTCAGAGTTCACTGCACAAAAGTCGTTATTTTCTTTATTCTCAGTGGGAGATTTGTGACGTTCATACTCTGATGTCTGAATTCAACCTAGCTTGTCACCCTGCCCCAATGCCCTCCAGTTCATCATACCCACAAAACAAATGCCGAGTTCAGCTTTACATACTCTCATTGCTAGTCTGTGCAACCAGAATTAACACAAGTGGGTAGGTTTCTTGTTATTTAACTGTAGACTAGAAGTCATAATGTTCCTGACTTGTAGACCAAGTAGGGCGCAGGTTTTCTCATAATTTTCCTGCTGGGGAAAAAAAGAGTAATTACTCGTTTAACCCTCATTGTGTAGTTGATCAGAAATTCTAGCAACGAGAAAGTGTGTCTGGAGATGCTATGGTACATAAATGTGTTCCTCATAAAAGTTGTGCAGGGAAGGATGAGTCCACTAGTCCTTATCAGGAGGGCGAAGTTCCTCAGGGAGCTGAAGGGGACTGAGGGCTGAGAGATACCCCCCTATCAAACTGGAGATTTCTCTCCACAAAGTAAGCATAATATAAGAGGTGCCTGGAGATATAACTAAGAAACAGAGGAAATGTTTTTTAGTGCCAGGGACATCTACATTGTTTGTTCTGGACCTATTTTTAAATTGGCAATTTTTTTAATTGTGAAAAATTGGCCAAATTACTAATTTCTGGTCACTTTATTGGGTAGTTGAAATAGGTAAATGGGCAGTTTCTTGTACTCGAGTCGATAGAACAAAAGGAATACTAGCAAAATAGCTACGAGTTTGGTCAGCTGGAGCAATGGAATTGGCCAAAAATAAGGCACACGTTAGGCAAAATTGCCTAGACTGACAAGTTTGCGAGAGCATAATTCCATAGGTTGTCTATCAAATTTTTTATTTCATTACCTTCAGGAAAAGATTCTCTACCATATCGTAAGCTACAATAATTTTTCTTTTTTTTAAATTTTTCGACCCTGAGAGCAAGTTTGAGATCAAGGGTCTCGACCCTGAAAGGGTTAAGTAAAACTGAACCTGAGTTCAGAGGTTCACTTTTAACATTTTGTGATTATAACAGTGAGCCAACTCTTACCCCAGGTGTAGTTACCAACAGAATTGATGCCTGCTGAAACACAAGGCTGACTGGCCTGTCACTAAACCTTGTAACAGAGTGGTAGTTTGGTTGATTACATCTACAGATTGCCTAGTAAAATTTGTCTTAAAGACTGTTGTAGATAATCATCTAGGTGGACAGAATAAACACTGGTTATTAAATGGAAAACAAGACATGTACTGTAAAACTGCAGTCGAGTGAGAAACAGGCAAATTGTACTCTCGGGGGTTATTGTGCCCTATGAAGCATAGAATATTTTCTACTGACTTATCACTCTTGAATGCATTATTCCTTTGGTATGAGTGTTGGTACCTTCATAGTTCTGATGCCATGTAAGTACACACTGCTGTGGTAATAATGTCTAAGCATCACTAATGTAACAAAGTTGTGTGGTAGACTACTAGAGTGGGATCCAAGAGGTGTGTTATATATGCTGCAACCACTCGATCCTAGCATTTTGTGTGACAAACTTAACAATGAAGACAGGATACCATGAACCTAACTCTTCCTGTAATCACAGATAACTAATCACACTGCCTTATTTGGCATGCTAAAATCTATTCAGTTGTCTCTTACTTGTAAGAATGCATGTATGTATATTATTGCTTCATAGAATTAAAACAATGTTGATTAAAGAGAGAGCAATGATAATAGTAATATAAACAAAAAAAAAAAATGATTTTCCTGTAACCTAATAATCACTACATTGCCAAAGTCATTTTTTTTTTTTTTTTACTTCTCCCAAACAATAAGGACTGTTTCTTAATATTGATGCATTTAATATCAGGTTTAACTGAGTTTTTAGTTTTGTTTTGCTGATTATTATAATCAAAAAGAAGCGCTAAGCCACAAGGGCTATACAGCTTTGTTTTGCTGAACATATGAAGAGAATAGCATCAAGTTTGCATAAAGGTTGTGGAGTTTCAGTGCAGTATAGTTGTGATTACTTAGTGAAATGGCCACATGGTTATTGCCACATGTGTAAATTTGCTAGTTGTTGACAAATGAATATGTCATATCTAAGCTGCTTATATCTCAGGTGTTTCCTGGTAATATTGACTTACATTACCAACATATTACAAATGTTGAAAGAATTGTGAAAAGCTTTTACAAATTTTTTTTTTTTTTTTTGGTAGAAAGACTTGCTGAAAGTAATGGCATTATTGATTTATGATGAAGTGTAACTTCCTGTAGACAACCTGTGTAGTTGCACATAATACAATTTTCTTGATTATCAAAATTATAAGGTCAGTTGCTTACACAAAAAAATTTAGCCTGCTCTATTACATTGGAAAGCAGCTTGGCTAATCGCAGAATTTTTGCATTGTACTTACAGATCAAATAATTCCTTCAATTATTTTTAAAAGTGATATGAATGACTGGCATAAAACTATGTTCTTTTGTATTGTTCAAGTGAGTTTGATGTTTATACAAGCTAGATACTCAATAAACAGTTGTTTAATTATATAGTATTACTGTTATGTATACCTTCATACATTTCACCACTTTCAAAAGGTGCATATTATAGACTTAATTTGTATACAGGAGGGCCCTGCTTATACAGCAGGTTAAATTCCAGGCTACTGCTGTAAAGGGAAACAGCCTTTTTTCACTATCAAATGCATATAAAAGCTTGATAACATGTTTACACTATCATATTAACCCTTAAACTGTCCAAACATAGATCTACGTTTTTTCAACATTTGAAAGTATGTAAAAAAAAGTAGATTTTTTTTTTTTACATTCGAAAATATGTAAAAAAACATAGATCTACTTTTGGAGCACTACGCATGTGAACGTAGATCTGCTTGGACAGTTTAAGGGTTAAGTGAGCAACATAGCTAAGCCTAAAAAAGTACATATACAGTATCGGAGGGCACCACTTATATGGCAGGTTAGGTTCCAGGCTACTGCCATAAAGTGGAAATTGCCATAAAGCAAATCACACTTTTTCACTTTATAAATTCTTCATAACATTTACACCATCATATATTAAGTTAGCAATAGAACTAGGCATAAAACAAATGCAGTGGAATAAATAAACAGCAACACACCATCTTTAGAAGTAATGCTGCTATGAGTGAAGACATACGAAAGGAATAATTTTTTACAGTTACCCCAGTAATTCTATAATGTACACAGCTCTGGTGTTGGGGACCAGAGAAAATGGAATTCTTGCCATCGCTCCTACAAGCCATCCGGCTACCACATCTCGTATGTCAATTTGTTCTACTGTGGGTGTATGATTTATGTTATTAGTATAATAAAAAAAGTGCTAAACCACAAGGGCTATACAGCGTATGTTTATGTTATATAGCATGTCACAATTTTGAAAAAGAAAAAAAAATATATAGTATATCATAGATGGATTAATGAAAGTGTCTATAGTACAGCCTCTCCTCACTTAGCAGCGTGCTTGTTTACCCACAACTCGGACTTACAACAGGCTCTCTGACCAGTATGCATACCTAAATAATATATAATAGACCTCATTTCCTCTATGCTGTTTATTACACTGCAGTAGGGCCCCACTTATACGGCAAGTTAGGTTCCAGGCTACTGCCGTAAAGTGGAACGCCCTTTTATTCCACTTATGAATGTATATAAATGTTAGATAAGTTTACACTAACATATATTAAGTTAGCAATAGAACTAGGCATTAAAAAAAAACTAAAAAAGTAAAATACACATATAGTACACTCATTACTCACCTTAAAATATTTGTAGTTTTAAAGTAGGGCGAGACGAGTAGTATTTATTGGGGGGTTCATGGCTGGGGAGTGTCCTGGTCAGTCACTGAAGGGTTATTTCAGTCACGAAGCCATTGAACAGCAATTTCAGTGGCAAAGACTGTATTGCATAAAAGCCTTGCACCACACCATGTGAAAGATTTGGTCAAATGATAAAAGAACAATTCTAGGAACATTAGTACAATTAACATTAGTGTGGACATTTTTTCTAGGCTTCCGTGGATGTGCTTTTAGCGTGGGGATGTCTAAAACACCATCAAGGAATTGATACAGCCAAGTCCTCACTGGATGCGCACACACACACACACATTGCTGGTTTCTACTGTTTCCTTTATTTAATTGCCTGCCTGAAGTAATCCAGTGAACTCTGCCATTGTTTCTTCTGTCAGTAACTTCTTTCTGTCAGTATCATTTTGTCACCAACCAAAAACGTCCAACAAACTTGGCACTCAAGAGACATGGTGCAGTGAGAACACAAAACTATCCATAAGCCCGTAAAGCACTTTGGATGCAGCTAGTAACCATAGAGAATACTAAGACATTTCAGTTTCAGTTGCCAGGTCAGTATAACTTTTTTGTCTCAACAAATGTATCAGAGTAGGGTATTACCTTGGACATTAAATTATATTGGTGCTTTCTGCCAGTCGTACTTTAATGAACACTGTAGTTACATTTAAATGGACATGTGAACTATGAAGGTTAATACAGATTAATTCTAGATTAGTTCATTCTTTTCTTAAACACTTTCTTACAATTTGCATGTAAATTTTGGGATCCTGGTAAATGTAGTGAGCTACCACATCAGATCTAATGCAGCAAGTGTTGGGGATAAGACTGAGGTAGTCTGACTGGTTATATGTACCATAAACTACCTAGATAACAAAATACTTGCAAACATGGCTCTTTACAACAATTACCATAAAAATGCCTGTGAATTTCTTACTTCAAAGAAATGTGCATATAACTGAAAACAGCACTCTATTATTTGGGCACATTTCAGGCAACAATAGTTTGAAAAATACGCAAAACGGAAGGGAAAGGGGAAGGGGTGGGACACCAAGAAGCGACTCTGAAGATGAGAGACTGAATAAAGGAATTAAATAACAAACAACTTTTAATGGGTTTTTTATTAACAGCAATAATTTTCCAACCAAATCTTTTAAATGTGGCAGCTATCCATAAAACAAGGTGTTAGCAGCCCCTATTTCCCAATAACAGGTTTTTGAAATTTGATATCTCCAATCAATAATAGTTTTGCAAAACATGTCAACATATTTTCCTTGTTTAAATAAAAAAAAAGCACAAGGCTTACTAAAGGAATGGCAGCACACACTATCTTCCCAAGCAGAAACAGATGAAACAAGCATTTTGAAATAATTTACTAATATAAAACTTTATCCAATCATCTAAAACTGATTATGAACTGAAAACATTCACATTTAATTTGGTTAAATACATTTACATGCATATGAAGAAACAAAACTAAGGCACACTAATGGAAATATGTAATAATTATATATCAATTACACGTACGTGCTCATTATGGTCGTAACAATAGGATATTCCAATAAACCCATCAGCAATACAGTATTAAATAAGTTGTAACAGCATTTTCTCCCTAAATATAATACAGTATTATGCTTTGTATTACTTGCATATCTATAGACAATACGCAAATTGCTAAACTAAAACTGACTTGAGCATTGCTCGCTGCAGCAGCAAATAACTATCATGTGTCTGGAGGCTAGAACTCTTAATATTGAAACCTTTTGGAGAATTTAAAAAAAAAAATTGTTACCTATTGTATGTATTAGTGATAACTTTTTATGAAGCTCTATCTTATCACATTTAATTGGTCTTGATGCAAGAGTTCTAGAGTCCAGTTTTTACTCATGTAATGATAAGAGTATGAAGAATGAAAATGAAAATGCATTAGTAATCATCGCCACGGGTCACCACCTCCTTGCAGGTGGGCCGTAGAACAATAGTGTGCTCAAACTGTGCAGTATAACATCCCTTCACATCACAGAGTGGAGGGTATGGGTCCACGATCCCCTGAAACAAACAACACACATTAGTTCTTCCCGACAGATGGAAATATAACAAGTATGCATGATGAATAAACTGCACTAAAACAAAACAGGTATACAGCACAGCACATTACACACACATACCAGGACCAGCACTATTACAACCTTCAATATCATAGCAACTGCCAGTACTGAATACAAGATTACACACACCAAGCATCGTAATAAAGGAGGGAGCAGAAACAGACTTGCCTACATGATCCATTAAAAAAATAAAGAATAACTTATTGTCGTTTTCCTAAATACAGTGCCTTCAAGTAAATATGAAAAAGTGTCTTTCATAAATGGCATCCTTACTAAAACTTATAATGAAATAGCTTGAAAATAATGCCTGAGGCTCACTGGTATGCCCAGAACTAGGAAGAAACATGGCTTGTTACCAGGCTGTCTAGCATCTTGTGGCATCTGTGGCCGAGTGGTTTAGAGCATCACTTGGGGAACCTTGCCACTCCCCAGAACGTCGCGTTGTTCTCCACTGCCCACTGGAAAACCACTACTTACATCTTCGGTGATGTTCAATGGTACTCACCTAATTGTGGTTGCAGGGGTCGATAAGTTCCAGCTGCTTAAGTATGGAAAGAATGAAGAACTCAAAAGGAACACTGTATAAAAAACTCAAGAAGATCACCAAACAGAACGAAAGGAACATGTGAAAGACTTGGGAATAATTATGTCAGCTGGTCTTTCTTTCAAAGAACATAATAAGACAAAGATCACAACAGCCAAGAGAATGATGGGGTGGGTATTGAGAACTTTCAAAACAAGGAAAGTAATATCAACGGGGACACTTTTCAAATTGTTTGTGCTTTCTCATTCGGAATATTGCTCAGTGTTAACAGCCCCGTTCAAAGCAGGAGAAATATCAGCGCTTAAACAAATAGATTATTTACAGCCCACACAGAACAAGTAAAGCATTTAAATTACTGGGAATGCCTTAAAGTCTTAAATATGTACAGCCTCTCCACACTTAACGATGGAATTCCGTTCCTAAAACCACGAATTCATCGTCAAGTGAGGAGCATACTATAATGGTAGTGGGTTTCTGTCAACCATCTTTGATATTGTTTTAATGTCACCTTTGCACCATTTTTAACATTTCTGGTATATTTTAAATGTTTATACAGTAGTGTACTGTATATTGAAATAAACAGAATAGAGGAAATCAGCTCTAATATACATTATTTAGGCATAAATACTGGTCAGAGAGCCCATTGTAAGTCCGAGGCATCGGTAAATGAGTATGTCGCTAAGTGAGGAGAGGCTGTACTCACTGGAGAGGAGAGAGAGATGCATGATAATATATACCTGGAAAGTATTTGAGGGCCTAGTCCCAAATCTGCACACTGCCATAACATACTGGAGCAAGAGATATGGGAGCAAGTGCAAAATAAACCCAGTGAAAAGCAAAGGTGCAGTAGGCACAGTAAGTAAACACTATCAACATTTGTGGCCCCATACTATTCAACATCTTACCAGAAGATATCAGACTCTTCTGCAACAAGTGTAGAAGTCTTCAAGAGAAAACTGGACAAGTACCTTCACTAGGTTGTGAAGGATATGTGGGGCAGTGGACCTCCAGCAGCAACAGCCTGGTTGACCAGGCTAGCACGAGACGAGCCTGGCCCATGGTCGAGCTCCGAGAGTAGACTCTCGAAACTAAAGTATCAAAGATACCTTTGAAGAGTTTTGAGAGTTTATCTACTCTCTGAGCCTGGCCATGGGCCAGGCTCATCTAGTGCTTGCCTGGTCAACCAGGCTGTTGCTGATGAAGGCCCACTGCCCCACATATCCATCACAGCCTGGTTGATCTTGCACCTGGTGAAGATACTTGTTCAGTTTCCTCTTGCAGGCTTCTACACTTGTTCCAGCCATGTTTCTGATATCTTCTGGTAAGATGATGAATAGTCTGGGACCCCAGATGTTGATACAGTGTTCCCTTATTGTCCCCAATGCACCCCTGCTCCTCACTGGGTTCATTTTACACTTCATCCCATATCTCTCACTCCAGTATGTTGTTATGGCAGTGTGCAGATTTGGGACCAGGCCCTCGAGTATTTTCCAGGTACATATTATCATGCATCTCTCTCTCCTCCACTCCAATGAATACATGTTCAAGACTTGCAGGCATTCCCAGTAGTTTAGGTGCTTTACAGGCTCAATGTGAGCCATAAACGATCCTGTATTTGTTCCAGCTCTGATATTTCTCCTGCTTTGAATGGGGCCGTCAGCACTGAGCAATATTCTAAGTGAGGGAGCACTAGCGATTTGAAGAGTGTCACCAGCAGCATTATTTCCCTTGTTTTGAAAGTTCTCAATACCCATCCCGTCACCTTCCTGGCTGTCGTGATCTTTGTCTTGTTATGGTCTTTAAAAGAAAGGTCCGCCGACATAATTATTCCCAGGTCTTTGTGTTCCTGACATTCTATTTGGTGACCCTCTTGAGTTTTGTATATAGTGTTCCTTTTAAGTTTTTCATTCTCTCCATACCTAAGCAGCTGGAACTTATCACCATTGAACGTCATGTTGTTTTCCAATGCCCACTGGAAAACCCTGTTTATGTCTTCCTGTACTTTTTCAGTGTCCTCTACCGTAGTGACTCTCATGCTTATTTTAGTGTCATCTGCAAATGATGATACAAAAAGTATGTCGGGTGTTTTTGTCTATGTCTGCTATAAGGATGAGAAACAGCAGAGATGCCAGGACAGTGCCTTGGGGCACTGAGCTTTTGACCTCGCTGATGCTGGTAAGGTGGTTTCGAATCCTGCTGACTGCGACTTTTCTCTGTATATAACTATGCTTGTTTCTGTGTGGTGCTTTAATGATATAAAATTATTTGCATGGTCAGAATATACAGGAGGAAAATGAAATAGCTTGAAGACCATGCCTGAGGCTCACTGGTGTAACCAGAGCTAGGAAGAAACATGGCTGCCTAGTTTCTTGTGGTTAGTACTGAAAGAATTAGGGGTAAGATGGACAGCAGGCTCACAGATGAACAGAGGTTTTAGAATGTGTAGGGAATGTATGGCCAAGTGTTCACATTGAAGCATATAAGTGAACAATTGTTTAGATAAGATAGGGAAGTTTTTGTTGCTTTTATGGATTGAGAAACAGTATATGATAGGATGGATAGGGAAGCAATGTGGAAGATGTTGCAATTATATGGAATAGGTAGTAAGTTACCAAGCACTGTAAGGAGTTTTTTAATGAGGATAGTGAGGCTCAGGTAAGGGTGTGTAGGAGAGAGAGGCAGATTATTTTCCAGTAAAAGTAGGCCTTAGACAGAGATGCACGATGTTACTGTGGTTGCTTAATATATTTATAGATTGGGTTGTAAAAGAAGTAAATGCTAGGGTGTTGGGAAGAGGGGGTGGGATTAAATTATGTGGAATCAAATACAAAATGGGAGTTGAAACAGATACTTTCTGCTGATGTTACTGTGCTTTTGGGAGATGCCCAATACAAGTTGCGAAGGTCAGCGGACGGGTTTGGGAGGGTGGGTAAAGGAAGTTAAAAGTGAACATAGATAAGAGTAAGGTGATGAGGGTATCAAATAAATTAGATAAGGAAAAACTGGATATCTGACAGGACAGAGAAATCATGGAAAAAGTGAATGTGTTCAGCATGGGTTGTGAATGTTGCAGGGAGCAGGAGGGACGTCATGTCTAAGGGTAATGTGTGGCATAAATATTATGTAGAGAATCTGTAGTGTGGAAATTAGTAGGTGTAGAGCTACTAAAATGGGCTGAGGAAGGGCTGTTGAGGTTGTTTGGTCATTTAGAAAGGGTGGAGAAAAGTAGGATGACCTGGAGGGTGTATAAATCTGTACTGGCAGGAAGAAGGGGTAAGGGTCATCCTAGGAATGGATGATGGGAGGGAGTAAAGGAGGTTTTGTGTGCAAGGGACTTGTCATCCTAGGAATGGATGAAGGGAGGGGTACAGGAGGCTTTGTGTGAAAGGGGCTTGGACATACAGCAGGCATGTGTGAGCATGTTAGAAAGGAGTAGAGACTAATGGTTTTTGGGAATTGACAAGCTGTTGGAGTGTGAGCAGGGTAATATTTTGTGAAGGGATTCAGGGAAACCAGAAGCCGGATTCGAATCCTGGAGGTGGGAAGTACAATGCCTGCACTTTAAAGGAGGGATTTTAAGATATTTTCGGTTTGGAGTGACATCTGTACTGTCATATCTGCATGCCTCTGCAAAGACAGCAATTATGCATGAATGATAGTGAAAGCGTTTGTCTTTTTTGGGTTACCCTGCCTCGATGAGAGACGGCCAGCATGCAAAAAAAAAAAAAGAAAAACACTCTGGGGTGCTTTAAATGTTGTATATTATGTTATTGTTGAAATTTTCATTAATCCAGTTATGTCATTTTTCAAAATTATATACCTGGAAAGGGTTTTGGGGGTCAATGCCCTTGCAGCCTGGTCTGTGACCAGGTCTCATGGTGGATCAGGGCCTGATCAACCAGGCTGTTACAGCTGGCCACACGCAACCCGACATATGAACCACAGCCCGGTTGGTCAGGTACTGACTTTAGGTGCCTGTCCAGTGCCTTCTTGAAGACAGCTGGGAGGCAGTTGAACAGTCTTGGGCCCCTGATATTTATTGTGTTCTCTTATTGTGCTAGTGGCACCCCTGCTTTTCATTGGGATATGTTGCACTGTCTGCCAAGTCTTTTGCTTTCATAGGGAGTGATTTTCGTGTGCAAGTTTGGTACTAATCCCTTTAGGATTTTCCAAGTGTATATAATCATGTATCTCCCCGCCTGTGTTCTAGGGAGTACAGGTCGAGGAACTTCAAGCATTCCCAGTAATTGAGGTGTTTTATCTAAGTTGTGTGTGCCGTGAACGTTCTCTGCACACTTTCTAGGTCAACAATTTCATCTGCCTTGAAAGGTGCTGTTAGTGTGCAGCAATATTCCAGCCTAGATAAGAAACACACTACATATAAACAAAATATGTAT